GTCACAGAATGTATTGTGAAATTTGTTCACCAATTCGAAGCCCCCAAAAGGATTTTGACTGACCAGGGGAAAGAGTTCGTCAATGCCGTAAGTACTTCAGTCATAGGCAGAAATTGGCTACATGTTGTTGATATAATACATACTCTTTTTATAAAGCTCTTTTAATTATTTTCTTGTAGTGTTTCAATTAACCCTTTATCGGGCGAGGAACCATATATGGTCACTTCATTATGACGGTTTTAATTACACTTCTATGGCATATTTTGGTGGGGGGTTTTTTATGGGTGATATACTAATATACACTTTAATGTTATGGCTTTCTTTCACAAATAATTCAAAGTGGGCTTGATCTTGATTTGCTTATGACTTATTTATTACATATTTTCATAGTATATTGATATGGCATATTTCTTTTGCAGCAGCTGTCTGCTCAGTCCTTCTATGGGAAGAGGAGGTCTTGTTGTGCCAGCCCACGTAGATATCATTGACTTTGATTTTCAGACAAAAACTGACTTTTTCAAAAAAATAAAAACAGAAAAAATGTCTTCTTATATCCACCAATAACACTCCAGGGTTGAAATTTTAAATTTCCAAGTATTTCAATGAGTGCCCTATAAAGGGTTAAGATAGCACCTTATTTTCGTGACATCTTGTTAATTTAGTTCTGGCAATATGTGTGAAACATGACAATAGTGTGTTTCACGTATGGTTTCAGATAAACAATGGAGTGTGCAAAATATTTAACATTAACAGAAGCCTCTGATCACCTTACCATCCTCAAACGAATGGATTGATCGAGCGGCTGAATGGAACCATTCAGAGGTGAATCCTTTGTTATAATACACAAAGATTTGATAGTTGTCATTTAATGCATTTGTTTATATTACTTTTTAAAAAGTGTGCATTTTCACCTAAAAGTCATATGGAGTAATACAATTTGGAAATATTATTCTAATCACATGTATCAATATTTCGAAATGTCCTTTATTCTCAGAGCCCTGAGCAAATTAGTTGGCGTGCATCCAGATAAATGGGATGACTATCTGGATGCGGTGATGTTTGGTCTGCGAACCAAAAAACAAATGACCACAAAATACTTTCCCTATTTTATGATGTTTGGGAGAGAGGCCTGGTATCCAACACAGGTTCCTGAACACTAAGAGGTTGGTTTGTTGTCTATCAAGACGTAGTAATAATACAGGTGCAAAACTCAGATTTATGTAAGTGTTTAATTATAACAGCAAATGTGTTTGTTCAAAGCTTGACAGCACTGTGGACGACGTAGTGGCTCAGGAGGACCTGTCACAGGACATTAAAAGACAGGACCTGGAACTTGTTAAGGAAAGTATTGTTGAAGGACAAGAAAAGGGGCCAAAATAAACTCTAGGTAAGTTAAACATAAAAGGACAAATGTTACAGAATAGGGCGAAAAAATTCCAGAGATATTAATGAAATTGAAAATGAGTTACACTTTTTATTGTCCTCTGTATCACATATCACATGAGTTACGTCAGTAATTAGGTGTAAGAACAGAGACTGCCCTGCAGGAATATTTAAAGAGGGCTTGGAGTAAACAAACAAAAACAACAAATATGTGATTGTCATTAATTAATTAATTTATTTATTTATTCATTCATTCTAGTGGCAAAACACCTGTCTTCAAAGTCAGGGACAAAGTTTGGAGACAGAATATTAGGAGCCAACAGAGGAAGGGGGGAAGTTGGACGCCAATTTTTTGGGACCATACCAAATTGTGGCAATCCAGGGGAAAAGTGTTGATCTTGTGGATCACAAAGGGGCAGTCTTCCCCCAAATTAACTGTGATCATTTGAAGCTCTATAAAAAGCAGGTAAAAGCTTCAGTGGTTGCTCCATCATCCCCATCCCCTGCAGCCCCATCACCTGCCGCACCACTGTCAGCTGCAGCCCCATCCCCTGCCGCACCACCGTCAGCTGCAGCCCCATCACCTGCTGCCCCATCACCTGCCGCACCACTGTCAGCTGCAGCCCCACCCCCTGCAGCCCCATCCCCTGCCGCACCACCGTCAGCTGCAGCCCCATCACCTGCCGCACCACCGTCAGCTGCAGCCCCATCACCTGCCGCACCACCGTCAGCTGCAGCCCCACCCCCTGCAGCCCCATCCCCTGCAGCCCCATCCCCTGCCGCACCACCGTCAGCTGCAGCCCCATCACCTGCCACACCACCATCAGCTGCCGCACCATCAGCAACTCAATATACACAAGCTGTTGCAGAGAAATGTAAGATTTCTTCATTTTAGACATATATATATATATGTGTGTGTGTGTGGGTGTGTATGTACTTCATCATTAAATAGGTTTGCTGATTGATTGATTTTACCACTTCCATTTACTAGATTCTTTATCATTATTTTATTGTTTCTTGCAGATGTACAAGATGCCTGGGGGGGGGGAAAGGTCCATGTCCTTCTCTCAAAAATAGGGGCCTACAAAATATTTTACTGGGACATTTACCTAGTTGGTCCCAACATGGAGTTGGAGAGTGAGGTACAATGTTCTTATTTTAACATGATTTACATTTGCATGTATAGGGTTGACTATTTTGTAAGATTGCTATAGAACTAGCAATGTTTTTTCTGGAAAATGATATATTATATTTCATTTTTCTTAAGGCAATCAATGCATACCTCTCTGTCATGGTCCATGAATGCAATGACCGGAAAGGCAGCATTCATAGATTCCTATTCCATGACCAAAATGTGGAACAGAGGCACTCAAAGACTCAAAGACTATTTTACAGTAGCTCAAATATAAGAAAATATGGAATCTGGAAGTATAAATATGGGACTTTTATTCTTTAATTTCTCCACATTGGTACAGTAAAAATGCTTGATATTAAGTATACTTGTAGTCTTAGATGTGTAGAAGTCAAATATATCATCCATAGCCAGGAATTATTGAGCAAAGTGTTTTTACAGTAGCTCAAATATATGAAAATACCACTTGGAGGTACAAATATGGACTTTTATTGTTGAATTTCTCCAAATTGGTACAGTAAAAATGCTTGATATTAAGTATGTTTGTAGTCTCATATGTGTAAAAGTCAAATATACCATCAGTAGCCAGGAAACACTGAGCAATATGTTTTTACAGTACCTCAAATATGGTCAAATATGCAATCTCTGGAGGCATAAATATGAGGCTTTTATTTTGGCATTTCTCCACACTGGTTTAGTATACTTGATATAAAGTGTTTTTTTATTCATCAGGGGCACAACACTTTAATGTAACATATTTTAATTATAGCTTACGGCTCTAAATACCTTTATTTTGAAAACCGGAAGTAAATACGCTGTTTCTCCGCATTTACCATAATGCTGAGAATACTTGTACACTGGACATTTAGGTGCGGCTGATTTGACCACGGAGATCGGACTCACGGCTGGATTGACCGCAGTCTACTAGCCTACTGTTTCTTCTACACAGCACCGTCCTGTAAATGACAACATCCGGTCTCAGAATATGAAAAAACAGGCCTTTTTCTGTTTCTGTTTTCTAGTGATTTTATTTTTTGTTATATGAAATAGAAAATGAAAATCGAATCATTTTTTTAATTTCGCTCATCCCTTTTTGACCATCAAAAAGAAAAACGCCTTGTATTTCAATTTGAATTTTTGTATTTTAAAACGAAAATCAAATAACCACTCGTTTTCTGTTTTTTAATACCCGTTTCTGAAAGGAAAATCCAATGACCAAAACATACACGGACCGAAGTAAGAGGCTGGGTTGAGCCTCTGGTGAATAAAGAGCAGTAGTCTGACTGCTATGTTCAAAGCAAACTTGAGAAAAGTATTAAGCCATGGTTTAACTGCACTATAGGCTGAGTCCTAGTTTACCTTACATGTGCACTTTGTAATTTTATTTTCTATCGCCCTGTGTTGATCCCTTAGAAAGGGCTGTTGAAGGGGCTGTTTGTGTGACAAAGTATTTTTGTCACCCTTTTATTGATGGACAGTGTTACATTGTGTGAGAGATTATTTGCTCCAAGTGAGAATGTTAGTGTGAAACTGAACACTACAGTATATGCCAATGTTGTTTTCAATAAAAACAACATTTGCACAAAGCAAGCCGATCCACTTTTCCATGTTGATAAGAGCATTAAAATGAGAAAAAATAATGGGACAAAAAGAAATCAAGGGACATTTAGAATAGATAAAAATGTGCGATTAATTATTTTAATCGTTTGACAGCACTAGTTTTAATATCTAAATCTGGTGGTTTTAAAAACTGTTAAAAACACTTCATCTGTTCTACTCCTCTGACCTCGTGCTGCTCAGGGATTAAATTGAAAAGGAAGAAGCAGATATTCCAACAGAATTTGAAAAGCCCCCTTCATTTCCTACTGTGTGTAGCTGTTGGTGAGGATGCCATGAAGTAAGACTGACGACTCTCCCGAATGAACAGTTATCATAGCACTAATGGTGAATATGAATCCTGCTTTGTCTGCTGAATAATACACAGATACTTTAGGATCCTTCACAAATGCATCTGGTCGAGTAGTATCAGAGCACGAAAGCTGAGACTGAGCTTTCCCACAGTGGCTTATGTATGTATTTCATCTAATCACATACACTGTAACAGAGCTAGGAGATAGTTGTAGTATTTGCTTCAATATTCAAGACCTTGTCCAATTTTGGACACAAAAGACTTAAATGAATACATTATTCAGCCCATGGCAAAGCGTGTAATAGAACTGCCAATCCACTAAAGAATATGTGTTACTGTCACATTTTACCCTGCCTTGTTGTGAAAAGTACATGTGTATGAAAGTGCAGTATAAACCATGTTTAGCAACTTCTTAGTGCACATGGATTGAAAAATGTGTGAGTTGTACATGTTCTTAGTGCTTGTATTTTTAATAACCCATGGGTTGAGTGTGAGAAATGATACATGCTTTACACTGAAAATATCTATTTAATAAACTAACCACCCAGAACAGCACATAGATCCTCTTCCTCTGGTGCAATTTCCTGTTGCAGTTTGACAGACACGCCTGTACTTCGAAACCACAGCTTCTGTGCCTTCGCTTTTGCCGTTTTATTCTTAAAGCATGGGGAGCATAGTTGAGATATTACTGTGGGCCTTGATTATCCTGGACTCAGGGGGGTGTTCAGTCTCACTACCAGAAATCACTGATGGAAACTTCATTCATCAGTGTGTGATGGAGCACAACAGCGCACGGTCTGCTGTTAGTCCAGCTGCAAGTAATATGCTCTACATGGTAAGCATGAGGGGATCTTCCATTTCTCACTAGCTTTCATTTCATAAATTAGTCACAAGTGAAGTATGAAAATGAACTGATTATTTTTGTGAACCCTCTGTTGGTGAAGCAGTGGCTTGAGTGTTGCAGTCCTAAAATGTGGAACTGAGTTAGCATTTACGCACTTCCAGTTCACTTGGCTCAAAGTCAATGAGTTTTTGACTAGATGTCTGAAATAAGGTTAGTGGTAACACAAAATATTTGAGGGTTTGTCCTACTCCATTTAATACCCCACCTGTGAATGTTGAATCTATTGTGAAGAAGTAAAACTACTCATTAGTCCACCTTTATTGCCTGGTTGTTTCTACTTACGCTCTATTCTAACTCAAACAATCAAACTTGTAGATTTTATTGACATGATGTTATTACAAGTTGAAAGTTTAGTGGTGGTAACGCTGAAGTCATAGCAGTAGTTAGTTTATGGCCTGTTGGCTTTTTCCTTGTGATGATCACATATACGCTTAAAAAATAATCATAATAATTGATGTATCATAAACCTTTGTTGGGCACAGATTATTTTCAGCAATAATACAAAATCCAATGTAAAAATCTCATTGGCCTTTTGTCGAAGGGACCAGGGTGATGCTAACTTCCAGGTTGGCCTACAAAAATACGTCATCCCTGTAGGAAGGAAGGATGCTATGTTAGCTATATATAAATATTAGTTATATATAGTATAAACTTCTCCATAAAATATGTAGGATATTCAGACCTATTGAATTAACTGTGAACTTTTCATTAGTGTTCAATTTCTTCTTTTCTTCCCCAATATATTGAATTAAATTTTGTCCAATCTTGAGAACAAAATGCCAGGGGGAATAACTGGTACAGTGTGGACGAGATACAAACATAAGACCAACTTGGTCAAAGTTTTTGGAAAACATGCACTGCTATTCAGCTTTCTTACGTATTGTTTATTCTTCGCTGTTGTGACCACCACAAACTTAGAGTCACCTCCATTCTGTTGGAGAAATGTCAAAACCTGGACAAACGCCTACCGATCCTTTAAAATCTCTGCTCTTTAAGACATGGGATGAAGGCTTGGCCATCACTGCAAGAGCGTGGGCAAGACACTGTCTATTTGAACACAACACCTTCCTCAACGATGTCCGCCGAGTGCATCCTACCTTCAGCTCAGTAGGAGAAAACATATGGACAGGCTACCCGCCATCATCTTTTGATGTGGCACATTCAATTAAACGTTGGGTGGATGAAAAACAAGACTATGACTACGACAGCGACTCCTGCACTAAAGTCTGTGGCCACTACACACAGGTCTGTGTACTTTTCTTTGGAAATATACTGACAACGTACTTGTGTTTTTTTTCTGTGGTGAAATGTTTAAAGAGTTCAGGGCAACTAACAATGAGTAACTAGTCATGATGTTTTTTATTTGTATTGATTAATTTAAACCTTTTGTTGTCTCCAGGTTGTGTGGGCAAGAAGCTACAAGGTTGGTTGTGCTGCCCAGCTGTGCCCAAATGGTGTCAAAAACACTGAATTTGGTTCTAGAGAGAGTGTCATTTTTGTATGCAACTATGCTCCAGCGTAAGTTGAATACATCAATGGATAAACTGTAACTCTGACATTTTAAAATGGCTTTTTTTCTGTGGTGACATTGAAGGTTTCTGCTCACCCTATGTGTTCCATTTGTCGGTTGGTTGGTGTTTGAGGTTGAGGTTGAGTTAGAGGGTAGGCGTTGTTTCGGTCTTGCTTTGATGAGTAAAAAGGAAGTAGCATACAGTCCTGCTATGTGTCTTCACTATAAGCACCTAACAAGGTTCAGAACATTAAAGCATAGGCCTGGCAGTATTTTGTTTTACTTAGAAACATGAAACGTCCTGCTGCCCCTAACACTCACTTTAGCACCAAATGTGTATTATTCCACTGCTGAAAATAGTCCCCAGAAAATACACTACTGCCTCGTGTTCATAACATCTGGATATATAGTTCTAAAGATGTATGCCTTTAGTAGAAATGAATGGACTGAGTGCCATAGAATAGTGAAGACAGACAGAATAAGAAACAAAAAATAATGGCAGCCTTATCCTCGAAAGGCCCTGACACACAATGAGGAAATAAAGAGGGCAGGAAGTTCAGGGTTCAGAGCACATATCACCCCAGAATAAGCAAATATTTTAGCAAAACTACCACCTACAATAAGGGAAAGTGATTTGTTACTGTGAAAGTGATTTAATTTGGATGATATTTCTTTCCTTGTGCAGGGGTAACGTGGCCAGAAAGAAACCATATGAAACCAAGGGTACAGAATGTTCTGGATGTGAAGGCAAATGTGAAAGTAGACTCTGCCGTGAGTAAATAAAATGCATATCTGCTTTTTGTGACCCTCAGCTGAATCATTTCATGACTGGCTGAAAACCACAAATTCAAGGAAGCCAAGACAAAAAAAAAAAGGCTAGAGTCACTGAATTTAACACTCTACTTTACAAAGACAGAAATAAATATAAACAGTTTCTAATGTGTTATTGTCTTTGCAGGTAGCCAAGAACGTGATTCACAGAAAAGTAAGTGATTGGAAATTTGAAGCAGAGATGCAATCCAGCTGGGTTATAAAATGGTTACCATCACTTTGCTAAAAGTATTCAAGTGTCAAACATTGTGTTAGTGAAGAAGAGCAATACATTCCACTGGATATATCACAGCCCACACTTACTAGGTACTATTTTTGTCATGTAAAACTACTAATACAGAAAACACTCATTTGTTTTTCTAGGCTACAACTGGAGCCCAGACTGGGACCCTGCCGTGGCTGTCAGTGGCTCCAACTATGTCTCTATTCTGATTGCCCGACCCATTGCCCTCATCTTCACCTTCATCACAGCATATGTAGTCCACCACTTTTACCCTGATGTCTTCTGCTACGAATAGACCACCTATGAAGGACATGGACTTATTCAGTCAGTGCCAAGGTGAAGATTTTAGTTCAATTAAAATTCAGCTTTTATGTCCCAATACAACTGTACTTCAAAAAGGTCCAGTGTGTAACATTTAGGAGGATGTAGAAATGAAATATGATATTCATAGTGATATACTTTCATTAGTGTATAATCATGGGGTTGCTATCTGCAACTGCACTGCCAGATGCCACTAAATCCAACACACTGGACCTTTAACTGCCAAAGCGCACTTGCCTTTTACCCAGCTGCTTCTTTGTAGCATTAGCAACAGGTTTAAGCCTTCAGACAGGAGACAAGCAACCTACCAACCTCAGGTCTGGGAGAGAGAAAAGTGAATGCATAGTCAAATGGCTATGTGAAATGTAAAAGGACACTGATGATTTTACGGCCCACAACTTTTAGATTCCAAATCATTCCGGCTTGCACACAGTCAGTCACAGCGATGGCCACACAAGGTACTACTCTGCAACAAGGACTCAGCAGGTTTCAACAGGTTCACTTTAAGACCTTGTAATATGCAATTTAAGAGCCATTTTACATGCATACTGGAAAATAAGTTTTCTTCAGTACTGGATCCTCATCTGTTCCGTTTTGTAGTCGTTACATCTTTCCCAAAAACACGAACACAAGACTGAACACGGAACTTCATACAAGTAGCATTAACGTCATTAATCCAATCGACTTTTAAGACAAAAAATGTCAAAATCATATTTAAGATGTTTTAAGACCCTGTGGACTCCATGTGAAAGCAATTAATGTGACTAACTGAAGTTAAGGCACACCCAAGAAAAAAATAAGATCCAGATGGTTAAAAATCCTCCTTTAATTTTACATTTCCATCGGATTCCTGAACCCACATCAGTATTCAGGAGGAAAATATATTTTGAAACGTATAAACATTGACCATACAAAGTCTGAACAATAGTTAGAAGACAAATGAAGACATCATCATTCTCTGGTGGTCTGTTCATGTCCTTTGACAGAGTTGGTGTCCAGATAGAAGATTATGTATTGTAACATGAACAGGAAATCCTCACCACAGAAGTAGCTCAATAGAAAACATCCATGACAGTTTTTAAATGGAATTCATTTTGATCCAAGCACACACTGCATGCCTCCTGTTCCTGTGTCCCTACAGAGTCCTTGTTCTGTCAAACAGGACTGCCAAACAAATACCATTTCACATGGGGATGGTGTTAGTGTGTGGTTAGCCTTTGTTTTTTGTTTTGCTCTTTTTCTTTTTGTTGCTGGTGCTGTTGGTGGGAGGAGCTGGGTTCACTGGGGGAGCCCCCAATTTCTTGGTTTTTGCTTTTTTCACTTTCTCCTTAATGGCTTCGATGTCCAGCTTGCCTTCTGTAGGAGCTGTAACAAAAACAAAATCAATGAGGGTGAGACAGAGCTCAGCTGTATTGTTACAGTGTACAGTTTACGATATGTTTGCTTTGCTCTCGAATGAAGTCTTCTTCCTTTATTTCTACCTTTAGTAGTTTTCTTCATCAATGGCTTCTCTTTAGGGGGAATGAAGGCTTTGTTCCGCTCTTCCTGTTTCTTTGTCAGAGCCTCTGCTTGTTTCACCTAAGAAAGAGGAACAATGACAGTTCTCAGAATATGATGCAACTCTTGATTCAAGACTGTACACAACACATAATAATACAGATAATTCATGTGAACAGGCACTGTAGCCCAGCACCTGATGAATCCACTCAGTGCTCACCTTTATCTCTTCCATCTTTTTCCTCTTTTTCACACTTTCACGCAGGAAGAATTCTCCTGTGGCCAACTCCATGTCAACCTACAACAATGATCCACACAGTTAAAAACTTAAGTTCAAATAAATAGTTTAAATATGCAGAAATAGCCACTTTAGCATAGCTTTTTATAATGCAGTTCAATGTTGTGTGAGCAAGTGTGCACTCGTGGGATATGCTACGTTAACTTTAGCTCTTGCAGCAAGTAAAGTGAGTAGTGTTAATGTCCATGAAGCTGTTATTCAAAGTTCTGACCTTGCTGTCTGGCTGGGATGGAGGGAATGGTGTGTACTCCTTCTTCACACTCTTCTTCTTGGGCTCCCTGCGCTTGGCCAGGTTCTTGTGGCGGAACTTGGGCAGGAAGCGTTCCCAGCTCTGCACCCGCAGTTCGGGGTCTCTGGACAGCTCCCGTTTGATCATCAGTGTCTGATGGTTCCAGCGTATATGAGAATATGAAATGGGGGGGTGGAGTAAAAGTGATAAAAATGTGATACTTTGGTGAGGTTTACTTTCATGCCACAACAAAATATAGTTTTATTACCAGCAGCTATCAATGCTGAATCACACTGGTTTAGTGGTAACAGTAAGACTTCTACAGTTAGGTGAGGCCGTTACAAACTGATAAAACCTGCATTAACCTCTCAACTGTTGTTTGTCCAAGACAGATCACCAGTGGAGAAGTTGCTGCAAGGCTCTCCAGGTCGAGTGTGCCGGCATGTTCGTAAAATGTGTTTGTATTTTTTGTTTTTCTTTTAAAAAAAAAAAAAAAAAAATCATATGAAGTAGGGGTCAAATACTGAAACTACTAACCAGCCCAGACAATTTTAGCCATTCGGTTGTGTTATGCAAGTAGCAGCTAATGTAGCCCTGCTCTTCTAGCGTAAAGCATAACCTCAGATTGGTTCATTTTCAAACTCTTCCTTCAGCTTCCACTTGACCAAAAAAAGCTTTATGCAACTTTATTTAAATATGCAGTAGTACTTGCCAACACTGGTAAACACACATTTAGGTGTGGAATTGGTGGAGTTCCCCTTAAAGGTGTAAAACGTCAATGCCTGTATATATTTATAGTTTCATAAAAACTATTTTAATTTGAAGGCAGTGGTCTTTACTGCGGAAGAACCACAGGAAATAGTGACATTAGCTTATGAAAACATTCAGATGTTTTTCAGCACTTTTTGCCAGAAAGATTTGAAATGGACACAATGATTTCTTATTACATCTCTAACATGATGAAGGTGCACAGGTCTGAAAACAACAACCTCAGTCAGAGTTATGTAGTTAAGCAGTTTAGATACAAACAAGATGGATCCACACATGTAGTGGTTAGATGTAGACCAGAAGTGTTTGGGCACTCAGTTTGTAAGGCGTGTTCAGAATATGTTCCCAAGACTAGTAATCCTACATGACAAAGTGTGGCTGATTCTCTCGTGCCCTCAGCTCCAGGGTGAGCCAGCCTTGGCATACAAACCCAGAGAGATTCATTTCAGTCAGGAGATCAAGAACAAGGATGGAAAACATCTTCATTGGGCATGAATGCAGCCTGTCCAAACATTTCAATCCATCCAGTACTTTTGCCTTTTAGCTGATTCTGTCAGCAGTTTGATCATACCTTGATGTTGTAGATGGGGTGAATGTTCTTCATCGTGTCCATCACCACTTTGCGTACCTGAACAACATAGAGAGACATGAGACAATGCTTCTACATCCTGTGTTCTTTGTGTAAAAATGTATTCTGTTTTAGTATTCAGGCTTAATAAAACCCAACTCATTATGAAATGCTATTTCATCATGCTCATCATTTTCATAAGAGGTGAATTTGTATATCAATTCTGCATTTAAACATTTTTATTTCATTTATTTCCCACTGAGACTTTCATATGTCAACACAAGTCATTCAAGTAATATTTTGGGGCTCCATACCCACTGGCTCTACTCTAATCTAACTGCTGCTGCAACCACTCAAATTTCCCAACAGAGATCATTAGAGTTTCATCTCTATCCAAGCACCACAGAGTCTAATTAAACCTGAGGGGAGTTTGTTTTGCACCTCGGTAGACACACACACACACCCTTTTAGGTGTGGCAGGATGTTGTGCAAGGTTAAGACACATATAAGCTACCTTAGTGTTTACTCATTTTTATGGCTGGAACAGATCTTATAATTAAGTTTATAGTCAGACTCCTGTTGTGACGCACTTAATTGTGTGGTTCCTGCCTCATGATCAGGTCAGTTTCTCCACCCTTTATATCTCCCACTAGACTCTTGTGAGCAAACAGGTGCTCTGATGTTCTTACCTCCTTCAGGCCATTGAAGGGCCCAAGGGCCGACACCGTATTACCCTGCGCCATCACATAGCAGTTGGTCAACAACTCTAATGCCTGAAGAAAAGGGACAGGAAAACAAAGTAAAGCACTTAACTCATGACTTAAAAGAAATGACCTGTTAACAGTGTTGCAATACTGCTCCAATGATGCAGATATTGTGGCTGATTAGAAGCAATAAGGTAAGATGTTGCTTTATTGATCCCCAAAGAAGAAATTCAAATTTGGCACAGCATAAAGAAAAAAAAAAATATAATACATAAAAAAATATATATATATAATAACGGATAACTATAACCACACACACACACACACACACCACACACAAAAAAAAAAAAGTGTTGCTTAGCAGGTTAATGCTGCCACCTAGTGACATTTATCTCCAACTAAACCTGAGACCACAGACCAAGTCCAGACAGCAGGTTTGTTTTTGACACTGTTTTTGCTGAGATAACATTTTTACAGGTGCTTCACATCACCTCCAAGTAAACCACTGTTAGCAGTTAAAAGCTCCACTGAGTTTCACTTACTCCACGTCTGTTATAGAATCCATAGATGCTAACTATAAAGCTCCACTCCAGATATTCTAGAGTATACTCTGCTATGAATAATATCTTGTTTAACATAGCTTCCCCATATAAAAACTTCTCCAAAGGGGCTATTAGCACATCTACTCTTTCTCGAGCATTGTCAAATTCTGGATGAATGCCCCGCCCTCCACCGCTGTTGGCTGGGTACCAGTGTGAGAGAGCGGTGCGCATCAAGGTGGCCATCGTGAGAAGAAACATTGGAGAGACTCAGCCATAGCTTACATGTTTGAGGAGCAGAAGTTAGCACAGCATTAGTTGGTGTGAAACATGTAATATCTGCTGCAGTGTTAGTAGGGCTGCAACGACTCCTCGAGTACCTCGAGTAACTCGATTACAAAGAATGATCGAGGAATTTCGTCTGCCTCGAAGCCTCGTAAAGCTCACGTTTTGCACCGATTCTTTTTAGTGTGACACAACGTGCTTATGTCACAGGCTATGTGTCCCCTACAACGCAGAAGAAGATGGAAGCGGGCTCTGTAACGTGTGTGGACAGTTTTGCTGTACAGAACGGCAGACGCCGAGACTGAAAACTGAAAACAGTGATCTGTCTTGTTTTCTATTGTATATTTATAATTGGGCTTTAATTAAGCAAAAGTATGTTTTATCCGATTACTCGATGAATCGATGGAATATTCTATAGATTAACAAATTACAGTGTAGTAGATAGTAAAAGGAAGCTCAAGGGTTCAGTTTACAATAACTGTGCACTCTACTATGTTTGCCAATGGCTGTTCTCTGTACTGGCAAGTCCGCTCTGCACTGGAGGTATCAGGTTTCTTTGCTTTTGGCATTTGCATGACAACAGTTGGCTTTAGAATTTGTTGTGTACCAAATCTAGCCATTGCTCCCTTTTCATTAGAAGACTGTGAAAGACTAGCTCTCTAGTGACAGACTATGCTCAAATACAAGTCAGTAAAGTTAATGTCGGATATTTTATGGGACATAAACATATAAAACATAATAAACATAAGGGAAAAAACTGAGTGGAAGGGATCTCAGGTCAGTGACCCGCATTAAGCTGCATTTCCACTCCTCATTTAGGAGCCTTGTCAGCCTTGTTCTAGAAGTAAGTTACTCAGGATAACAGTCATACGTTTTATCAATCAACAACAATGAAAAGGAAGCAGTATGCTGAGATAACTGCTGCTTCCCGACAGGTAGGAGATGTGCTGAATGAAAGGTGGACTTAGGTGTGGGACTCACTTTTAGGGTGGAGCCCTTGGGCCCAATCAGCCGCTGTCTTCGCTTCACAAACCGCTCTCTGTTCCTCACCAGGGTCCCAATTTTGATGATGTCACATGCCACGTCATCCTGTAATATTCGTACAGCCTGGAAGCAAACAACAGTGTGAACTGGGATGCAAGTGAACAAGACAAGACAGCAGTCAACCAATCACAACCCTACATGACAGCAGCATGGTTTGGCAACAGTGCAGCTGAAAAGCAGGCCTGGCAGCACGAGGATAATAGGGAGGAAAGGATATGAGCCCATTCAGAGCCTGTATGAGCAGGCAGTCATGAAACAAGCAGCAAAAATCATTACAGACCCTCAACATCCCCTCTGCTCTGAATACCAACCTCTGCCATCAGGAGGACGACTGTGTGCAAAAGCACCAGTCAAACAGACTGAAGTTACCGTTTGTCCCGACTTCTATCAAGCTGCTGAACTAAATCATTAATAGAGCAATGTGTAATAAATAAACCAGCACCATAGCACTTTAAGTCGTATAGTTTCTTACAGTCTCTTTATACATTCCCATGTTGTCAGTGTTCATTTGTATAGTCAAATGTGTCTTTCATGTTGATTTTGTGAAGCATTTTTTCCCCCTCAGGGACAATAATGTTTATTCTATTCTATTCTACGGATCAGTGAGCACAGTGATCATTACCTGTTCAAATGGGACACTCCTGGCCAGCAGCTTGATGAGATCTCTGGCTCTCACGATGGCATAAGGGTCAAACGTTTTCTTGGTGGTGTGTACCGTGATGCTTCCCTCAATCAGGTCCAGAGAGGCTTTGATGTGCTGAGAGGAACAAAAAAAAAAATCCATGTGACACAAGACTCAAAAACTGAACTGCACAGTACTATCGGGGGTGGCTCAGGAGGTAGAGTGGGCCGTCCACTAATCAGAAGGTTGGCGGTTTGATCTCAGGCTACGCTGCATGTTGAAGAACAAAATACTGAACCCCAATTTGCTACCAATGCTGTGTCGTGGCCTATTCCATCAGTGCATGAATATTTAGTGAATATTTTGCTTCATCTCACAAGCATCATGCTGCAGCAAATAAATTATTATTGCTTTAAGATTTATGGACTAAATGCGTCCTATAGTCCCACTTAAAGTTTGTGAAGCTGACATTTTCAGTGACAAATATTGGAATAATTGGACTACATCCAATATACATTTTGTACAAAATTAAGACTGTTGGGTTCTCTGTATGATATTTTGTGGCCCAAATTAATTAAAAAAACTCGATAGGATATTAGAACTTTTAGTTGCAGCTTTCTTCACAGCACAAAGAAGTTTTCTTTACATCTTTATAAGTTCTAGGATAGAAAATGGGGGAGAAAATGAAAAAATTACTTCAACCAGATTGAGCTACATAATCATAGTCCAACTCCTCCTCTTTTGCAGTGAGAGATCAAATACCTGCAATTATTTCCTTCCAAGCTTCGGTGAAATGTATAACTTCATATAAGAGTCCTTTTTCCTTTTTACAATCTTTCTACAGTTTTTTCTCTCTGTGTTTTTCTTTCTTTGCAGATGTATTTGTAATGACACTCATTCAGGAAGTTTACAGTCTGTTTGCAGCAGTATGGTCAGTACAAGCGTTTTCCTGAAACAGTGAACTTACTGCCTCTCCTAAGGCCTTCTCCACAAGCGGCCAGCACTCTTTCAGGTAGGCTTCTCTGTATTTGGGGAAGAGGGTGGCGAAGCTGCTCTCCTCCAGCAGACCTCCGGGGTTGTGGTCTTTGGTGAATGCAGGCTCTTTCCATCCATCAGGAACGGTCAAGAGTTCAGATTCATCCACTGCATGACACAGACATCACAATCATGGACTTTTCAACATCTGTTGTTTTTAATACAACTCAAACACTGTCGGGAACATTAACATGGAGGGAACAAGTAGGAACCTTGTAACAACTTGTATGTTTGCAATGTGTGAACGCAGCACGGCGAACAGCGGGCTGTACGTTTTAAAGTGCTAATGTGTAGTAGTGACTTTGACTTTGCTTTGCACTTCTTGAAACGCCTGCACTGAAACAACCAATAGAAATAATATGTTCCTGTATTACTTAATGGAACAAATGTTTACAACACTAGTCAGCTCACATGCTAGCTCAATGCTAATGCGTGCCTTTAAACCGACTGACGTAAACACGCTAATTCCCCGATAAAGGTCCGCTGCCTCACAGACAATGGGTCGCTGGGTGTCAGTTAACAGCGTTCAACCAGGGGCCATCCATAACTTACCTTGGTTTTTAGTCTTTTTCGATTTTTTCCCTGTTTGAGCTTCACTCACGCCGTCTCCTGCCGTGGAGGACGCCATTGTTAAGCACAAGAGGGACTGAAGCGGAGACTCTTCTTCGTGTGAGTGTCTTCTTCTTCTTCTTCGGGTTTTTAAACCCAGTTTAGGCTCATTACGGCCCCCTGCTACACTGGAGTGTGCTTCACTTTGTCAGTCTGCTGCAGCTTACTGCTGCCACCACGACACCAGACTGATGTTCAGTATGTCGTTGTATCCTTTTTTTTTTTGGTCACGCGTAAATGAAACACATGAAACAGGCTGAGCTACGATTTTAAATACAAAGGTCTTCAGATCCCCCTGGTAGTACTCACATCTTAGAAACCTTTGACCTGACACTAAAGCTATACCAATGATAGATTTGTCATATTTGATTGAATAAACATTTTATTTCCTGTAAACATCATTCTCCATTGTGTCTACATACTGAATATACTGACTACAAAAGACTGGAACCAACCTAGTGTTTGACTGTAGAATGAATTTACCTCGTGATTTCTGAGGATTACATCCTACTGAAATAAAGTGTTTGCATCAGTCCTGCTCTCATCTTACCTTTTTTCCTAAGTTTCACCTTCACTATTTCATGTGTAGTCCTCCTGCTGCATCCACTTTCAAAGGGATTTTACATGAGAAATAGTGTAGAATGTATACACACATTTATTAAGATTTATCAAGTTTAATTTATTTTTATTTTTTTTAAATATTGTTCTGTATCATTACTGTGAATTATCTCCACAATGAACAAAATACACTTACAGGTGGTGTTCCAAACATTTTATTGGCGCCGTAGTTGTTCATAGTAAGTCATGATTGCTTTAGTTGCACTCACTGAGAGAACGGTTAGTCCCAAAAAGCCTACAGATCCGGCTACAATGGAGATCATTGTCATGTGCTCTGTCCCTGCAAAGAGGTGGACACAAGGATTATATTAATTCTATTCAGAGTGCACACATGCATTCTCACATTGAACTGTACGTTAAAGTTAATAAACCCCACAAGTTCAAACAAACTGTAAGAGATAGATTGGTTTTTATCAGTATACAGTAGTCAATCATTTCTATATAACGAATAAAACTAAAATATACAAAAGTCTTTATTTAAAGCATTCAGATTGTAACATACATAATCAGTTGCAGTTAGGACCGGTGATGCAGCTCCTCTTTTTCTAATTGAAGTATTAAGTATTAAACCTTACCCCTGAAAACATCCTGTGCACTGATCATGTAACAGTACGTTTAAGTATTCTGCACTGAGCATCTGCTCAGTTTCCTTGACTTAACTCACAGTAAGACGGTGGGACTCCCGACTCCCCCCTCTTGTTGACCACCAGAGGTCCAGCAGAGACAACAGCAGCTTGTTTCCTCCTTTGGTCCATCTGGCTCACTGACCTCTTGCTGCGCTGCTGGCTGGGGCAATTCTATTACAAAACCAGGGTCAGTTGGTGATTTTTATGGTGATGGTCTCTACATTCATTTACAGCTTTACTTACAAAAGGTAAGATTTCACAAAAAAAAAACATATGATGAGATTTTAGAAACAAAAAAACAAAAAAAGTCAAAACCTGATCCCGGACGTCTAAAGTTGTGGAGACTAAATGCGGACCGTTACCCACGGATGGCAAAAGGTGCTTGCTTTGCATCCATGCCTCATGAACCTTTTCAGAGTGCATCATTCTCCTCATATCTCTGGACATTGTTGCCCTCTCACCTGAAATCATCCATCTTAGGCAGTTTGTGCTTGGCTCGTCTTAATAACACATGAGCTCCCCTGAAAACTTGTTCTGTAAAATTTTGGGGGTCTCTAGAATATTGAGAATACTGTATGCTGTTTTGCCAAGCATTTCTATTTTTCTGTATCTTCATCATCATGGATTATGCGTATAAGGCCATTATTAATGTATGACTCATGCATGAGGGTGATTCATCCCTAATTTACTTTAATAAATGATTATTGCCATCACCATCGAAGTGTGGAAGTGCAATAGCCTAAACTTCACGCACTTTGACTCAAAGATCAGCGAAAACAACTGCACACTGAATTGCCCTTATTCCCTAAAAAAAAGTGAGCTCCCTTGAAAGCCATGGTATAGTTCACACACTGATCCAAACTACATGTATTTAGATGTACCTGCCTACGAGTATGACGCAGCTATACTCCATGGAACCTCATCAACACGCCCACTTGTTCACTGTGAATTCTCCGGACACAGACTTTGTACTAGGGAGCTGGTAGGGACCGTTTAATGAGGATTCAAACACCCACCCACCCCTGTTGAGGCTCAGAATATTCATGGGTCATTCTCACCGATGCTTCAAAGCCACAAAATGGTATTCAGGACAGTCCTAGTTATGAGTACATTTAATTGTGATCCTTTAAGAACATTTAGCGTATAATGCTTTTGCACTACTTAAAAAGGTGGAGTCAACGATTCTGGAGACAGATTGTTGATATTTGAACTCGGCACGTTAGCATGTGTAGCAGGTGCCAGATTTACTGTCCACCTTGCTCCTGCTGGTTTTAGGGATATATGTGGTACATCCTCCTGCTAGAGGTGGGTGTGCACAGTATACCTGTGTACCACTACACCACTGATGTCAGCCCCACATCAGACAGCAGGTCTTACATCTGGAAACTTCCATGGCAACATTACAGGCTGAGGAAGGTAGTATTACACAGCGGTGCAGAGACCAGTACCTGGCATTGGCCAGTGGCAGGAAGAAAATAGGTCAACAGGTAATTGATCCAAAACATGAGCAGGTCTATCTCAACAGACCCTTCAGTTTACCTTTGCACAGTCTTCATCATGTCCACATATGTTGGCCAGGCAGTGGATGTAGATGGGCAACCCTTTGGGCATGGTGAACATCTGAATGGAAAATCTGCTTCTCTGTTCCCGGCCGTTAACAGAGAGCCAGTGGAATGTGGGGTCAACAGGACAGCTGGGGACAAGAGAGGATAACATTTATTACACACTGTAAAGACACTTGAATATTTCCACTTGAGCTTTGGGTTACCACATTATAGCTTAGCTCCATTTAACATTTATCTTAGTTATTAAGATAGAGAAAGTTAGGACGGAAGCCTCAAAGCTACATTATAAATGTTATTAGTTTCCTCCCCTGCATAGAGGCATATAGACCACCCAGAAAGAATCTGGGCACAGAGCTACATTCAGAGGAAAGGGGGACCAACAACCACAGGTGGAGGTAAAGCTGAGAATTTTATGATGCATCCGAAACAAGTGCACATTTACAAAAGCAACAAATACTGATTTTAACCTGCAACTGCATCAAGAAATGAAAATAACAAGTCAGTCCATCAGAGTCACATTTTCACCTACCCATCCTGAAGAAGAACCCCCTGGACTGTGTCCTGTGGGTCGGTGCTCTCGGTGGCCCAGCATGACTCCACCTGCAGGAGCACGTCTGAAGCCAGAGAGTTGTTGGTCTGCAGGGCTACCTGGAAGAACAGGGTGTCCTCAAGCTCCAGGGCTATGGCATCCCTGTGGCTGTGGGTGTATGAGCTGTCAGTGAACAGGGTCATGCTCAGGCCCAGCTGCAGCGATGAACTAAACTCCACCAGGGAGAGGGAGGAGAGCCTACAACAAAAGAAATTATGCTTTTAGATGTTTCTGACTTTTTATTTATTTATTTTTTTAAATCAGGCCAAGAGACAAAATGTGAGGATGTTTCTCTCACCACGCCACGTCCACGCTGACTTGAGTGTTGCGAACATAATGTCGTGGGTAGACACACTTCAAGACGACTTTTAGATCCCGTCGGCTGATGGTTTGCTCTTTGGTCAAGGTCACAGTCAGGGTGTTTTGGAACTCAATGTGGGTTTTGTTGACCTGGACAATCACAAACACAACATATATCAAAAGGGCACAATGGATTAAGGTAACTGATGCACTTTGGCATCTGTTGCCAATAAAAAAGCCAGCACAGTGCCCTTTTTTTTAACCATTTTTAAACACCTAATTATTCAGATATATTGTTATATGGTGACACTACTTTAACCTTAATGGCTCTAGGAAAAAGTTACAGTATATCAGAGACGCAATCCTACCTAGAATTTAGTAATTAGTTCCTGTTAGTAGTTACTTCTCTCAAAAGTAATTCAATTACTTTACCAATTACTGCAAAGACTTCTTTTGTAATGTGTTACTAGGGAAATTAACTTCTAAGTTACATCTATGTCTGCTTCAATGCACTTATTTATACACACAGCTAACAAATTTAATATTTTACTGTAATGCTGCAGTAGGTGACTTTTATAAAAAAAAAAAAGTCATTTGCTGAAACGGACTATATACTGACAGTAGCACATAAAACAGATAATCTGGGAAAATATTAGGTACTTCCGGCTCCTGCTGGTTCTTGAGCATTTGTACCACGTCTGAATGAGAATAACCCATCAGAGCAAGGAGAGATAATTGATTGTTTAGTCTTATTCCCAAATATGACAAAAAAGTTTATAAAAATGTTACCTACTGCAGCTTTAATACTCCTGACCACCAGAGGGCAGCAACAACTAGCATTCCTACCTGTAAGCCACACTTATTGACTCCCAACACTAGAGGTGATCTCAAATGGTTCTGATTATGCTTTGGAATACCAGAAAAATATAAACTTTTTATTACAAATATAAAGGTGAGGGCTATTGTAGTCACACCATAAGTAATAGCTGTATGTATTAAGAAACCTGTGAAGTCAGTAATGCAGCTATGGATTTGAAGGCAGAAGATCTGAAGATTTTCCAATGAATGAGACCAATAGATGACAGATGGAGGCTGACAGTTTCTTCCCCATTGTTTGCTCTTTAGTGGCTTCTAACGTTGGTGGTTGTGAGGATAAATGGATGTCTCACTCACTGTTGTTCACGCGCACTCGCTACAGAGTATGGAACATATAGTGATTGGGAGCGCTTCTGAATCCTGGGCAATTTAGAGCATACTTAGGCTTATTTTAAGTGGTAAGTAGTGCACGGAATCTGTACATCACTTAGTAAAGAAGTGTTTTTTTAACACCTCTTTGAGTCACTTACCCGCCTCTCGGTTCCACATTCGGAGGCTTTTCGTGAGGCGCGGAAGAAGTAGAACATCCCCCTCTCATCCACAGCGCACCGCCCGTCGTTCAGCTTCACATCAACCTTTCCCCCCACGAGAGCAGTCAGGTAGGGTTTTGCTATTCCACCAGTCACCAGTTTACCCAGACACTGGCTGAAAAGACCTTTTTCTGGTTCACAACAAGGGTCAGAAACAAAGTGAGGAGCCACAATTACACTCTGATAACACAGAGGAAGAAATGTTTGTTGTTATTTTAAAAAAGCAACAGCTATCGAAACTGAATGCTAAAGCCACATTCTTATTTAAACTGACCTTTCACCTGTGAAATGGCAACATGTGTCTAATTGGATATGATAAGTAATTTTAGAAAGTTTACCATCACAGACTGGATGTGAAGCCACAGGAGGCTCGAAGACGGAGCTCACATCGTAGTAGCCATGTTGGCACACACAGGTGTAGGAGCCCAGAGTGTTGATGCACAGAGAGTTACGGGGACACGGAGTTTGGCTGGAGGAAGCACACAGATCTGGACCTGTCCAATCAGATAAAGCACAAGATTTTTAGTTTGAACTCTATAAAATTATTTTCCCCATCACCATCACCTACCGTCCCAGTGAATGACGCCATCTTTCACTGTGATGTTGGTTGTATTCAGGGAGCGAATGTAATCCAGCTGATCTTCAACAGGCAGGGGCACGTCTTCTTCAGTATTGGATGCATCAAAAGACATAAACAGAATCTCCGTTCTGTCTGGCTCATCTGCAGGTTCAACGGTGTCCAGCTCAATGCGGGCTGGCTGATCAAAGTCTTTCAACAGCTCCTGCAGCTGAAGCGCACACACACCACACACACAAATCTATACAAGAACTACACATGGGTGCAGGTTCACCTCATGTATTGTGAATCAGAAAATCTCCTATGTTCTAGCACTAGTCATGCTAGTATACAGTGTATACAATTAGGATGAAAACTGATTTACTGATGTAAACACTGAATTTTCTCCCACCCTATCTTTGAAAATCTTCCCCATTGTAGCTCTTGGTTCTGACACGTCATCCTGCAGATCCTCAGGCAGTGACCACGGCACGATCATTGTGAGACCCATGCTGGAAATTTCAAACTCCAGCTCTACAGAAGCCACAAAAATGGATGGGTTTATCATGAAAGATAATTAACAAACCAAATAAATCAATCAGATTTAGGCCTGCACTGAAGAAAAATGACTTTCTTCTATTCAAGCTTTCTTGATATCACTATTTTCATTTGTTATGTCAGAATAACAGGCTGCTGGTTCAACACCATCATAAAATGTGGTCATCAATGGCACTGTGGTAGTCAGTGGCACTAAAACCAAAAGCATAGCTACAAAAGTCAGACTGACCTTGGTCCAGAGCATGTCCAACAGCCCTCACAAAGAACTCTAAGGATGAATTAGCTGCCTCGAAACACACATGAGAATGTTCCGACTCCCACTGTCCGTCACATTCCTCCCACACATCGAGAGCGTAGGTCTTTCCTTCCTCCAGCCCCGGGAGATGCAGCTCTGTGTCAGTCACCCGGCTTTTCTGTAGGGTGGTGCCGTTCTCCAGGGATAGTACATATAAAAAGGCCATCGCTGGGTGGTGCGTGGTGCTGGGCATCCACAGGGCGGTGGAGTCGTTAGAGCGATACCTGAGCTCAGACACGCCGTGAGGTCCTGGATACACACAATGTGCACAGAGATAGATCAGGCCATATATAGACAAAGATAGATCGTAGGGATGCACAATATGGATTTCCTATTCATTTTGATACAATAACCAATAATAAGCTGCTTCCCATAGTTGATACCGATAACTGATATCTCATTTTTCTATTTGAAAAAGAAGTTCATAACCTGTAGTTTTTTTACACAACTGAGGATAAGAAAGGCTAAGATGTAGTGAGCAAATATAATAATATTAATAATAATAATAATAATATTAATAATAATAAATGATTTAATGTTTCATAGCTCTGTTCTAACTGAATCTAACATCACTAACAAAGACAAACAACAGTTCAGACTCTTCCAATGTTCATATAGATTTCTAGTAAAGTTCAACTTTCAACTCACCTCCTTTCCTTTTTGAGAAACCAAAAAAGAAATGTTACCATTCTTTTCCTGATAAAGGGTCAAATGTAAGGGTTGGTTTGACAAATAGCTAGTTATGGAGGCAGGAAAACACAAACCAAAGTACAGCCTTTGAATAGGTAACTGAATAAGATCGAGGAGGACAGTTTATAGAGCCAGGCTGTCACCTGATCAAAGTTTATTTATATATGCAAATGTGGTCTGCAAACTACAGGTAGCCTACAGATGGATCTAAGAGGATGCAAGTAGTTATGTGACTTCCTGTATATTCTTTAAGGGCTGTTGGCGACTTGACTGCAAGTTTTTGTCACCACTTCTGATCATGTCTACTATTTGGGCGAGGTGCAGTTCATCTTGAATGAGCCGAATATCACATTGATGCTTTAATCTAGCTGCCCTCCTCTGCCCTATTGTTTATTTTTGGGATCATTTCTGAATACTAGATTAATTCCATTCGATGTTTGGTACATTTCGTATCAGATATGACCTTGTTTTTAGAGGAAAATGAGTTGTGCACTTTCCTTTTAGATTTCAACTAAATCTAACAGGAACCATAATCCACAGTCTGTCCTTATTTTCATCCTTTATTGAATCAAAGTCACCCAGGAGTAATTTGAGTCATGTCTAACAGACCCTTTATAGTCAACTCCTCAGTTGATGAATACCACACAAACACAAGCTTACCTTCTCAGGGACTGATGGGATTGGGGTGGACAAGAAAGCATTTTACTGCAGGTTCAGCTATCTCATCACTTTGTCCAGCTTTGTTAATGAGATGATGCACATTAACAGTAGCATGTGTGGGACCAGTCTGTATTGTCTTCTTACCACTTTATACATTACCTGTGTGTGCTGTGACCGTCTTGGCACTCATGAGCACTCCGTCTCCACACAGCGCCTCCACCGTGGCCTGGTACTGCTGGCATGGCAGCAGCCCCCGCACGGTGTACTTGGTGATGAGCGTGGTGCCCTGCAGCACCCCCTCGTGGTAGACTCTGAACGTGGCGATGGACGAGGTGTTCCTCACTTGCCAGCTCAGAGTGTAATTGTTTGGGCCAAATGATGTCTGACACAAGGCCTCGATGCTGGAGTGAACTGAGGAGCAGAGAGGAGATTATGTTGTCTTTTCTAAAGGACTCTTCATAAGTCAGTTCAGAACTCAGCAAAGACAAGACAAGAACGAATCACCGTGGTTGTCTATGACCTGTCTAACCAAAATACAAAATAGAGATATACATTTTCATATGCTATTCCTGTGTACAGCACATTCTCTTCTCTGCTGCAATTATCACTGCTCTTTCAAATGTAAGAGGCATTTTCTGTGCAGCTTGTGGTCAGTTCATTGGCAGCTCTTCATTGTTAGACTACGGTATGTAACTTCTGCTGAGCAACCACTTGCTAAATAAGAGATAATTACAAGGTAATGGCAGATGCTTACTTTGTGTAAGAGTAGCACAATAAAAGCAGACTTATCAGGTCAGTGAACACACCCAGTAATGTGAGTTAGAAAGCAATATCAAGCTAACCCTTAGATTAGCCTTGAGTGTACTGAATTGAGGAACGGTGTGTTTTATTGCTTATCATTTCTAATTTTCATTTGTAGGAGAAAGACTTAAACACTAAAACAAACTAACAGTAGATACATTGCCTGTAAAGTAATATATTGTACAGCTATTGTGTATCTGTGGTCAAAACGAAAACACTGTAAATGAGTAACTGCAAAATACTTACGTTAAGTATCGTTTCAATACTGTGTTCTATGGAGGGGTCAGGTGGACAAACACAGAAATGGTTAATTTAGTCAGTTCATCCACTCGTGCAGAACTTACCAGTGTTTCCATCGTTCAGGACCATCTTGCTGTACTCCATCCCTGCCTGACAAACTGCCTGCAGGCCAAACTTAACCCTGGTGCAGGGCTGCAGGCCGGACAAGATGAACAATAAGTTGTCCTTCTTGTGCCACAGGGGCACCTCCTTTATGACGTGGTCTGTTCCGTTGAGGTAGAAGGCGGTGAGGAGGAAGAGGGAGAACTTGCGGTTCTCAGGGTAGTTCCAGGCCAAAGATATGCTGCTGCTGTTCCAAAATGTCACCTCAAAGTCCTTGGGAATGTCTGGGTCTGGAGGAAAAAGGATAACTAACAATTGGTAAAGCCTCCTTAAACCCTCATTAACAGTTTCTTTTGGCCACTTGAGGGTAGCAGAAACAAGCTGTAAACACAACTTTAATATATCACCACCTTTTAAGTATGGTGAACTGGACAGTTGCTAATTACTTTACTAAGCAATGTACTGTAACCATGATATGAAAATCAGCTTGTAGACACATGATACATGATAAGACAAGAGCTGAAACAAAGAATTCTATTATTTTTGTCTATTAATCAGAAAATCAATCAGTAACAAATTTGATGGCAATTTCTCCAGGATGATGGTAAATATTTGCAGGTCCCAGCCTCTCCAATGGGAACTTTTTATGTTTTGTTTTTTGTCTTATATGATATTCTTTAAATTGGTTTGCACCAACAAGCCTTTTAAATCATCTTCTGGCTCTGTGTCAAACATTTCGATGGTTTTTGCACCATGAACACAATTCCATTCACCTCCATTGTATTGGGGCGGTGAAGGAAGTGTCAGATGGATATCTCAAAACTTGGAAAAATAAAACCAAAAGTATCTGCCTGACCAGAGAGCACTAGAGGTAAGTAAGGAATATGTTTTTTAATCTCTGTTTTGCTGCCCATCATTTGTGCATGTCTGTTAATCCATCAAACCAGCACTCCATACCGGTGATAGAAGAGAGGCAGGTGAAGGAGTGAGTGCCTGCAATCTCCACACAGGCCACATAGGGCCTGCAGGAGTCCAGAGATGTGAAGCGGTAGTGGTTGTTGGTGGTAGTGTCCATGCTGAGAGTGTTATAGGAGCCCAGTTTGCTGTGGTACAGGGCCGTGGTGTGGCTGCTGCCGACAGCTGGGAGCTTCCCTACCCAGGAGACCAGCAACATGGACGGAGACCTGGACCCGAGCTTGACAGGGAGACGAATAGTGTGGCCTAGGAAGAGACAGTTTCAGTCAACAAAAACAGTATTTTAAAGCATTATTAAACCATAAATTATAAACATATTTACTTGCAAAAATGTCAACAGTACTTCTGTTACAGTTGGCCTGTTTTATAGTTTGGCAATTATGGTTGTTTGCTTTCTTGCTGAGAGTTAGATGAGAAGATCATAATGAAGCAAGGGGTCAGCAACCCTTAGGTTAGCTTAGCATAAACGCTAAAATCGCAGGAATCACCGTACTAAAGTATAAAAAAGACAAAAGGGTTTTGGGCGGGACTTTTTCTTGGCTGTGAGCAGTGACTTCCTGGATTCTTCTCATTACCACGAGGTCTGATCATTTTTAGACATTGGTTTAAACAAAACAACGAGCTTTAAAAGTGTGGGTAAGCAGACTTTGCTACCTTGGGACAGAGCCAGGCTAGCTGTTTCCAGTCTTAATGCTAACTTAAGTGGCTGCTGCTGGCAGACATCTGACCCAACTCTAAAGTCTCAGGTTCTAAAACCTGCAGGGGCAGATCTAAAGGGATGGCATAAAAAATATAATGTTTTTGAGTTCAAATATCTTAAGTTGGGGGCTTTTCCAATCAAATATTGATATGTGTGATTGTTTGTGAGTAAATCAGCATATGATTTTTGCCGCTGCTTAAAAGTCTCCATGCCACCCTCTGTCCATGCCATGAATATTTCTCTAGATCCTGAAAACCTGGGCGAATCTGTACATCGTCTGCACATCGTCTGCACAGTTTAAACTAACCTTTGATCAAAACCTGCAGTAGAGGCAGTGTTACACCAAACCCTGCCCGAAATTAAAAAAACTAAAGGAAGGTCAACGTGTAAGTTCAAAGACAAGAACACACTTAGCACACACACAGGAAGCAGATAATCTCACCGACTGCAAGGAAGAAGTTTTCATCCTGGTGGAAGAATAATGTGCCACTTTCACACGCAAACACCTCAGTGGGATTCATCAACTCCAGGAAGCTCTGAGGAAAGAACGAGGGATAATCAGAGTAGGCAAAAGCGAGATGGACTGTGCATAAAATCCAAACAGTTGTTACATATGAGATTATTACCTCGGTGGCAATTGTTGGTTGCTGTACGGGTTTCTGCCGGCCTCTGACTTGAGTGAACTTTGTATCTTAGATAAACAAAATTCCCTTAACATTTAACAACTATTGGTTCTTAGTGGGTGGAAATAAAAAAAAAAAAAAAGGAAAATGCTTACATGGGTTGATTCTTACAGTCCATGTCAGAGCAGAGTCTCCATACTGAAGTGTTAGCTTGTTTTCTACAGCTGGAGACACCGCCAAGGAGGTCACTTTACCCACCTTCCTGATGGATTTTAGTGCTGTACCATTCAGCCATAGGTTTCCATTTTGCCTAAAAAGGATGGAAAATAATAAAGCCCTTAAACACACTCATCTTAAAAAGAAGGCCATTCCACATCTAAATAAATCTACCAGTTTAATGCCACTTTTTTTAACTCTTCAATTTGATACCCTTCTGATGCACTGAGTGGCCAGAAGTATGTGGACATCCCATACATTTACCACTGTGTAGGCTACTGTTCTGGCATAGTTGTGTATCCAGATACTTTATTTTGAAAATTAGGCTTTTATTTTGGAACCATTTGATACGGAGCGAACGGACAGGCAGGAAGTAATAGTCTGTTCCTCCTTGTTAGCCCTTTGAAGGCATTCATTGTAAGTAGGAAGTAAAATATATGAATGTGGAGTTATTTAGTGTTAAATGTGAGATGGATAATGTTAGTTCACAGCTATGTTGTTTGTTAAGTCTCTATGCAACTGTTTCTTTAAGTCCATGCTTTCACTTAATAATAATAATAATAATAATAATAATAATAATAATACTTACCTTGTATGCTAACTGCAAACTACTATACATCCATAATTAATGACTTTGTAGTAGCTACGTGTTGCATCAGTTTGTAATGCATTTGTGGTACTCAAACACCTTCCCCTTACTGCTGTATGTGTTTGTATTTCAGTTTCACATCAAAGCACTCTTTGTGTGGAGGTGTTTAGCTCGCTGGATAGCAGGATGAGGCATTCTGTGGGGCCAGTACAGCTGCACTTGGATTTCATGCCTGGCTGGGTCCCTTGCTTCCAGTTAAGGAAAATCTTCGGTCCAGATTTGCCAGGTTAGCAGAGAAACACTAAATGGGGTTTTTTTTAAATGGAGTTTGGCGAGAGGCGCTCTTCATAGAGCAGATGGTGCACTTAATCAGGCATAATTAACTAACCACAGTGGGAAAGAGAGACAAAAACGTGTCTTTCCTGTGTTTACCTCTCCAGAGCATCGTCCTTGCTCATCCAGCATATTGAGAAGGAAATATCGTCGCAGTAACCTGGAGGAAAAACCTTTTTACAATATCTCCAAATGTAGAAAGTTGTGGGTAACTCCGTGATATGTCGGGTGCAGTCTGCTACTCACCAAGCGATATGGTGTGAGGCACCAGTATGAAAAAGATGAACGACAACTCCAAAGAGTTCCTGAAGAGGTAAACGATGATTTATCCGCTGAATTCGAGTGAGATATGTGATATAAAACCCACTGTGGATACTTAGTTACTGACCTTTTCTTTGTAATTCCAGCCAAAGACAGCATATTGTGTTTACTAGCGTCAACGCTTGGCTGGAAAGGACAGTCCTAATGAGTGACAGCTGTGTGCTGCCTTCACGCACCTGCTCAGATTCCTGGAAATCCTTTGATTTCTTATTGGCGGGCCATATCATACATTCTTAAATACTAATACCGACTCCTTTCAGAATTACTGTGGCGATCTTATGCAGGGGTTTATGTTTACTTTCATTATGAATAGGCTAGTAAAATGTACTTGCTTTATCTTTAACTAATGTTAATAATCAGGGCTGTGGCTGAGGTTAGGTTGGCTAAGACAAAAATACGCTTTATTTAACTGTTAAAACATTTCCCATGTATCTAATGACGCACGTTTAATTATTCAAAATGTGAAATTTTCAATCTCAGTTCATTTTATTTTATGGTTTTTTTTTTACATGGTTTCTAAATGGAAGATTTTGCATTTTTGCAGCTGGACAAAAAGTAACAGGACAGTTTTTAGCATCTTTTTAGTACATGAATAGTGAATGTGTCAGAGTAACATGACTAAGAGAAAACTTTGACTAAAATGTGTATGTTAACTAAGACACTGAATTTCTGATGAGAAAAATATATTTTATGTCTAAATTGGATATAGAGTCACACAGTAATAAAATGCAAATTGCAATTAGAACAAAGTGCAAGACACAACATTTATTTACTCATTTTAATACATTTTGCCTAAAAAGAAGCTTTTCATCAGCCTCCTAAAACTTTAGCAAATTGTCTATGAATAAAAACTGGAGATTAAAGGGATATTCCACAGAGCGCCTCAGCACAATGGTTACAGCACATGCCACATAACCTCACGGTTCTGTTCCACTGGAAAGGTTAAAAAAACCCAAAATATGTAAAAACAAAAAAAGATGATCCAGCAATTTAGTATTTCACCCCCATAAAGTTGGGAGACTTGTGAAACACATATTAAATAACATCATTTACTATAATGCAGATTCCCTGTTTGCTGAATGTCTTTCAAACTCCCTACCCACTGTTTATAAGGCAGGCTTTCCATTAAAGTTTGTAATGTCCTAACCCGAGCCAAGGTAACCCTGATAATGGGAAGACGCTATACACTGCTTTCAAAGTGGTACCCCGCATAACAAGTAAACACACACAATAAGATGATATATTCAGGTAGGAATACATTACAAGTTCAGTGACAATACGGCACAATGTGTTACAAAGTAGCAAACTACAGCTTCTTACTTATTTTGTGATATTGTGAAAGTGGTGAGGATGGATCACCCTCACCAAAGCTTCTTTTGTCCTCTCACAGTTTCAGTGTGAGCATAAGTTGTGAGCAGTTTTTCCCTCTCAGATTGCTCAAGTTTTTTAAAGGTTTTCTACAGTCTAAATGTATCGAGTGTTTCACAAGAAAACTGCAGATTCTGTGTGACATTTTTTTCTTTCTGTGTGCATGTGCCCCATCATCACCCCTAACAATTATGTTGGGCCCCCATGAGAATCACTACTGCATGTTGTGCTGCAGAAGGCCTGTAGGTGGCAGTATGCACCTTAATGAAAGGTGCAGTCCACTATCTGCAATTTAGAAGTACACAAATAAATAGTTTTGCTTTAATTAATAATCAGTAATTGATGAATCTGAAATGTAAGAAATTGATGTAACAAAAATGTAACAATGACTTTGTTCCTTCCTTCCTGTCCTTTTACCCCGATTTACCTTCTGCGTGGGACTTTGTGATTACATTAAGCAAAGGAAAGACGACTCGTCCTCTATTAGTGGTCCTGCATCACAGAGTCTGTGTCCAGCTGTTCAGGGTCTACTGGACGCCACTCAGCAATCAGACAGAGCAGCTTTTGTCTGATAAATCTTAACAAGCAAGCAGCCAAATTGGAGTCACAAGTACGCACAGTCTGTGGGGAGTTTCAGGCTGCAGGCTTGTGGGGGCTGCAACTTTTCTACCTCTGCCGTACCATAATTCAAGTCAAATCATGATCTGAGCAGCAGGGTCTGGGGAAGTATAAGAGTGTTCTAACGCAATATGGAGAGCTGGCACTGTTTGCTGCTGCTGTGCACACTAAGTTTAGTGCTGGCCTCTGGAGAGGCGACGAAAAATGATGATGACATCGACCTTGTCAGCTTTCTGAGAAGTATCTACCCCGGGCTGCTGGTGAGAGACGAGCCGTTCATCATCAACAGAGACTTTGAGATAAACTCCCTCAAGGAGCTGAGGCGCCCTGAGGTCCTCTCAATCACAGAGCAAACCAAGGACAAACCAGTCAATCAGGATACAAATGGAGCTCCTGGACCTGTGGTGTTAACCAAAGACGGCCAGATCAAGGGGGTTACGGTGGATAAGGCCCATATATTTTATGGAATACCATATGCAGATCCCCCTGTTGGGGCTTACCGCTGGAAGCCCCCGAGACCTGTGAGTCCTTGGCCAGGGGTTTATGATGCCTCCTTCCCAAGGGCAGCATGTGTGCAGGCCTGCAGCGGACCCATCACTGAGGAGTGTCCTCGGATAGTAAGGAACACTCAATTCTCACTTATTTGCATGTTGTCATAACATTTCACGTCAGGATATAAAAACATGTTTGCATCTTTTTGTATTTTGGAACAGAGTGACTTACAGTGAGTGCAGCAGTCAACTGAGTTTACCTGCTTGATCACCAAGACAGAAAAGGGCCCTTAAGCCCTGAAAACAGATTAGAGTCATATGTTATATAAACCTTTCTCAAAGTCAAAGATATCATGGCACCATAAATCTAGTTGTAGTGGACGGAGTTAAAGAGCCACCAATGTTTTTGAGTGTGAGCTAAGCCATGGCTGTATTTCAAGAACTGGATTCTGGACTCCAGTACTGCCTCTCCTTGCAGGGCCGTCTCCAGGATTTTAAAAAAAATAGCAAGGCCCAAGAGTCCAAGTTCCCCTAATACAATTAGAAACCCTCTAAAATCTTATTTGTATTAAGAACACAAATAAGACAATAAGAATAGAATAGATAAATGTCTATTGTGAAGGAAATACTAAATATTTTATTTATTCTTTGTTGTCCTAAACGGTTGCTGAAAAATGCCAAACTACAGAAGAAAATATAGAGGATATGGCTGTCTAACACAAAAATAACAAAAATTCAAAAATAATTTTCTTGTACATTGGTGCAGTACCAAAGTTGACCACAATGAAGCGACACAGCCGCTCAGACTGTAAATAGCCGCTCAGGCTGTGTTGGAAAAACATCGTCCCCCTAGTTTTAATTTTGAGTCCGAGATATCAAAAAACACTAAAAAAAAATTATTTTTTTTTATACACCCCCTATGTGTAAAGTTGCTAATTTAGGCTATTTAAATGGTGTGACTACAAGGCTAGCAGTGGGGGTAGCCATCTTGGAATAATGTGTCGGAGTAACGAGAGGTTTTCTTGTTCTTCTCATTCTGGCGATACTGTGCAGAGGCTAACTTACCGCTCCATAAGCTAGCTAACTGAAAAACAGAATTCTGGTCAAAATATCAGCCTAAAAACGGACGATAAATCACTGACCATTCATTTTATGATGTTGGGTTAGCAGGCTAGCAGAGTAGCTAACAGTAGCTAACTAGCCAGTTACAAGTTATAGCTAGTTTGAACTTAGAAGGCTAAGTTGCATTTTTCACTTGGTGACAAGAAGGTAAATCATGGCTCCAATGTTTCCCAAAGCTTCACTGTAACGTAAATTAGTCCTAGAAAGAAAGTGGTTCAACTTACTCAAGGACTATTGTTTTGTAGTTTGGCTAATTTAAGGCATGAGAACTAAATTAATAATTGATGTCTTTTCTTTTTTTAATGAACACAAACTGAATGAATTTCCTCTGATGTCCCCAAAAGGTCAGCGAGGACTGTCTCTATCTCAACATCTTCGTCCCAGTGGACGTGAACTTCAGCTCCCCTCTGCAGAGCCCGCTGCCTGTCATGGTGTGGATCCATGGTGGGGATTTCATTGCTGGCTCTGCCTCCAAGCCGCTGTACGATGGACGCTTCATCAGCAACTTCACCCACACTGTTGTTGTAAGCCTGGAGTACAGACTGGGTGAGAAAGTTTGGTGGTATTGCACCTTTAATGGACCTATACTGGTGTATTAGCACTGGGAAACAGGGACCTTATCTGTGTATTTACCATTATGATATCTATTTACTCCCTTTTCTAAAGTGTACTGTATGTGCAGGGAGAAAGGGAGGATGAACCTAAGCACTGCAGTTGGTTTGGTAAAGGCAACAAGCAGGCATCTTGTGGAAGACATTAATCACTTAGCTAAAATAATGGTGTGTTCATGTGCATGTGTGTGTGCTTGTGTGTGCCAGATAGTATGAGGCTGGATAATGTGTGTGCGTGTGTGTCATTATTTTAAATGACCGAGCCTGTTGGTAATTACTCTGCTTTCCTGCAAGACTGGAAACAGGAGCAGATATATGTACATGGTCATTTGGAAATGAATGTCTTGCTGGATTCAATTATGTCTCGCTGATCATGTGAATTGATGCGTGATTCAAGGTGCCTTTGGGTTCCTTGTGTCGGGCAAAGACCCTCACACCTCAGCTGCAGGGAATTATGGTGTCCTGGACCAGCAGGCGGGTCTCCTTTGGGTCCAACGGAACATTGCGGTGTTTGGAGGGGATCCGAGCAAGGCAAGCAAGCACACTCTCTCACACACACACACACACACACACACACACACACACACACGCGCGCACTGGATATCATTTTCTAACCATATCTCTTGATTTTGTGTTGTGTTCTTTTGCTAAGATCTCCAGGAATGATACCACTTATTTTTTCAAGCAAGCAACAGAGTTTTCTCAAAGTGATATGCACGCATAAAAGGGGGTACAAATCACAAAAAGGACAACAGTGGTTGACAAAGCTCATAGTTCATTCAGTTATTTAATTAAATTCAGAAAGGAAAAGAACTGTTAATCAGAGATAATAACCAGGTAAATCAGTGACAGACGGACTGTAGCCTGTTATGAAGGCAGGAGTGACCAAATGCACATATATTTTCCGAGAGTGCGCAAGGTTTCCTGCATTAAATCACACACACAAGACAGAAAGTGTGATAACGTGTAATTCTGTTTATCATCAAAGCTGATGTTATCTCATTATCATTACAATGCTTGGCCTACTATAGCCTATACCCGGAGATGTCTCTGGTAATAATTGGCTATATGATTATTGTGCAGGCTACAGGTGTCAGTGTCAACACTGGTGAACTGGATAGTAAAGGTCAATATCTGTCATAAACACTCACAGATATCATTAAAATGACTGATAGCATTGTTCACTCTGGTCCCATGAGGTGTGTGCTGCGGTCACTTCACAGTGAAGCACAGAAAAATCAGAAAAAATCTCAACAACAGAAATTAGACTAGTTTTTTGTTTTTTGATTTGATTAAAACAGATTGAATGGAATAATTATGTATTAATATTTGATACACAGACCTTATTTAATCAGAAGGGAGGACCACAAAATGGCATGATGAATGGCAACTATTTACAATTATTTTCAGTTTTCCTTTGATATGAAATAAGACAGGCAGCCCAGATGGGAAAACAAGTACGTTGTGTACCGTTAATTGACTTAAAGGATTTCTGGCAAGTTCAAACTGTTTTCATTTTAGCAGTAAGTGTTACCTCAGTGTTTCATACCAAGCCTCTGTGTTGTGATTTTTTTGTCAGGTGACAATATTTGGGGAGAGTGCAGGTGCTCAGTCAGTGAGTCTTCACCTTATGATCCAGAGCAGCAAGCCTCTGTTTAAACAGGCTGTCCTGCAGAGTCTGCCCTTCTCCATCCCCCTGAAGACCAGGTGAGGAACCATTAGCTCAGGTTGAGACTGGTTACTGAGCCTGGCTGAAAAAAAAAAAGCTGTCAGAAGTATTTTGGATAGATAGATAGAATTGGATGGATTTGTGTTTTCTTGGGCTCTTGCTGTATTAAACATTGTGGGAATGTCTGCAGCATGCTTACAGAAAACTTCAGGCTGAACTGTAATTTTGTTTTTCTCCGTCTCTTTCCCAGACACGATGCCCTGAAGCTGGGAAAAGACTTTGCTAAACAGACCAACTGCTCTGTGAGCAACATCGTCTGCCTGCTGTCTCTCACTCCACAGGCCGTCCTGGCTGCCCAGATGAAAACAAGTAGGGCGCCACAAACACCAGCCTACGCTCCCCAAATTTAGAGCAACGCTCAGGGCTGCCCACACAGTTACATAAGAAGGCAGGATATTAGTATGTTTATCTGCAAAAGATGATGAAAAACATTATTTATATACTGGGTGGTATATTGGACAACAGAATCATGAAAATGAAGGAATAGTGGGCCTCTGAAGGGGCAATTAGAGGGGTTTCACTGCTTCACGGCACAAAATGACTGTAATATATCTGCAGCGTTGACAGGGTTATTGATCAGTATCACCGACTCAGTGATGACGTCATCAGCTATGCTGTCCTAAGAAAAATACCAAAAGTCTAATCAGGAACAGGCTTAAAATTACAGTATCTTGCAAGTGTAACTCCATCTAGTTCTTTTTGTCGGACCTGTGGTCTTACTGATAAAGTTCTGTTGTAAAACTCAGATTGTATTTTCCATCTAACTGATGTGTTTTTTGATCTCAGGCTCCAAGATTGTGAACCCGTTCCGGTTCCTGGAAGTCTTTGAGACGTGGGGTCCGTATATTGATGGGGAGTTAATAAAAGAGCAAGCTGTCACTGCCTTCCAGAAGGGCCACTGGCAGAAAGAGAAGGCTGTGCTGCTGGGTAAGAGAGAGAGAGAGAGAGACACACACACACACACACACACACACACACACACAAAGAAAAGAAAAATGGCACCATATTATTATGATGCTGCTTCAATTGCCACTGATGGATGTCACACTGCATATTTTGTCTTTGTACTGCACTTAAGGACAATTTTGAGGTGCTTTACTTGAGTATTTGGTTTACCACTTTATTCCCCAGCATTTATATATATACATTATACTTTTTATTCCACTACATTTATCTGGCAGCTGCAGTTACTTTGCAGATTCATATCTGACACACAAAATCTGTGATGAACTTATAATATAGAAGGCATTTGTTATGACCCTATGGCCATGGCAAATAAAGAGGGCAATGAGGCAGCTGGGGGCATTGTGTGAAGGTGAAGAGCAGGCACACACATTGCTATAGATCAAATGACAACAGTCAGGACCTGATTAAACTGCTATGGGTCCCCAGGGCAAAAGTCAGACTCCTAATCAAACCCCTTACACTTCCTTTTGTTGGTTTAGTTAATTCAAAATATTAAAGAACATGCACCATAAAACATAATATCAACTGAAATATTGGGGGAATAGTTTAACAGTTGGGGAAATATGCTTATTTGCTTTCTTTCTTGTTCAGTGTAAGACTACAGGTAGCAGCTGGTTAGCTTGGCTCAGCATAAAGACTAGAAGCAGCTGTATAGTTGTACAAAAAGTACAAATTTTGCTGTTACTTCTGTGCTTTTACTTGAGCACCATTTTGAATGCAGGACTCTTACTTTATCGCTGTGGTATTTCTACTTTTACTTCAGTAAAAGATCTGAATAGTTCTTCCGCCATTGCTCAAAGGGATATCTTGCAAACTGTTGTCTAAGCCTGTTGTTTGAGATCTAGAATTTAACCATTTGCACTACTTGACAGAACAGAAGTTCATGCATTAAATGCTTCAATGTGGGAAAAAAAAACCCCACTATAACACCAATAAATTGGTCCAGAATTGATAATCTGCCAAGACAATAGAGAAGTTAATCTCATATTCATGTCTGTTTTTACACAAACTACCATTACCATCAATTTGTTCTGGCATTACTGTGCCTCAAGAGCAACCTCTGGCCAGTCTGCAACCTCTCAGCTCTATGCTTCCCACTGAACTCCCTTTGGTTCTTATTATAACATAATTTGATGGGGAAATTCCCAAGATCGTAACAGAGCTGAAGGCAATGTTCACTGTTAAAAAACTCTGAGTAATACATGCTTTCTAGAAAACTAATCAGCCCAGTGAATCAATGTGAAAGCTGAAGTCTAATTACCTGTTGGTGTAAAATGGCCCACAGTCATAACAGGAACAAACATGCTTGAAGACAATCAGACAACAGACTGGTTGTGCAAATTAAGGCTAGAGGCTTAGACACAGTAGTGTTCTTGTTTATATGGACTGAGGCTCTGTTTTCTGTCCTGCAGGTACAACCTCCGAGGAGGGGGTGATCTTTGTGTATGGCGTCTTCAACAAGCCAGTCTCTGCACTAGAGAGCACCGTGTACATCACAGCCATCTTTAAACAACACGCTCTGCGGATCCTGCACAAGTACCTGCCCCTGTACAGGGACGCTGACCGCAGGGATATGCTAGCTCAGGTAAGAGGAGCTCAGTCCTTTTCAGTTTCAGCATTGCAGATGATATACAGTACAGTCACATACACTATGCACACATTCTACTGAGAGCTTACTCAGGGCCAAGAATAATCTCATTTGTCGAGTTGTTTGTCAAGTTAACCACGGTGGGTAGAGCCAAAGAACATTTATTTCAGTGATAATGTCTAAACATATTGGATTATTTATTAGTATAAAAGCCAAGCTAATGCTGTTTTCTATTTGAGGACAAATTACACTCATCTGACTTCACAAACCACTGACATTCAAAACAATGAATGAGGAATCCCATTTATCCCATGGTAAGCTGAGTACTGAGTCTAATACACCAAAAAAGTTTGTCCTGCTTCAGTGGTTGTCAAACACATACATTCCCCTGGCTGACTGCCTGCCCATACGCAGAGATAGAAATGTCTAACAATCTTGTTAGCTTTTAAAGGACCAGTGTGTAGGGTTTAGTGGCATCTGGCGGTGCAGTTGCAGATTGCAACTCCCTCACTTCACCATCCCCTTCTAAATGCGAAAGAGAAACTACGGTGGCCAGGAAATGCACAAAAATCGCGAACAGACCTATCTAGAGCCAGTGTTTGGTTAGTCTGTTCTGAGATACTGTAGAAAACTTGCGGACTCCATGGAAGGAAACCCACGGCGTCTGTAGATAAAAACAACTCATTCTAAGGTAACGAAAACACAACAATTATTAGGTGATTATACACTAATATACTAACATACTTATGAATATTATATTCCATTTTCAATAGATCCTCCCTAAATGTTACACAGTGAACCTTTAAATGTTCATTGCACCTGATGATTTAACTTTTGAATATCTAGAGAGACATGTTCAGTCAGTTGTTTGGTCATTGGTTTGGTCAGTCCAATACTAAACTATCTCAACTACTGGATAAATGTCCATGAAATCTGCTACAAATATTTTTCCAACAAGATAAATTGTATTAACTTTGGTGACCACCTGACTTTTCCTCTGGTGCCACCAGTATACATTTCCATTTGTCCAATACTTTGATTTAGGTCAAATGAAGTGCTATCCGTCACAGCTTTAGGTCTGTGTTTAGTAGCAACCATTAGCACGCTAACACACTAAACTAAGGTGGTGGACATGGTAAATATTACCTGCTAAAATATGTAACACTGTTTTGAGGTTAGCATGACAATGACCAATAACTAGAATATCAAGCTAGGGACTGAGGTATATGCATCTGAATAAGACGCTGAATAGGGATGCTGCACTAGGTTGTGTGTTGTCCGACCAAAGAATGGTCACTCTCAAAGGCGAGGTGAAAAGCCAGCTGTCATAGCCTCCTCCTGGCCTCCATCACACTGCCTCCCTGAGCTCTCTCCAAGAACTCTGTCTGTTGAAGTCATGATGTGATGAATCAAAACGTACAAACGGAGATAACCGCACACACTACCTGATAGTTAAGTCCTCAAAGGCACTAATGGTGTACAAAGAAAATGTGACAGAAGTTGTTGTGTGAAGAAAGAAAAAAGAAGTTCAAACCCTGTACTTTCACTACACACCTTGTTGATTTTTTTTTTTAGGGTTTGTAGTTTTTCTCTTCTTTTACTGTTTTTGGTACAGTATGGCTCTAGGCATGGCAATGTCGGTCAGTCTGTCTACCACTTTGGCCCAGACATTCACGGTCCCCAGAGAATATATCCTGTTGACTTTGGTGACCCATTAACTTTTCCTCTAGTGCCACCATGAGCTTGTGTAGATGGCACAAAAGTTTGACTACATATAACTCCCAGACAATGAATTACTTTGGTTGTCCTTTTTCTCCAGGCACCACCATTAGGTCCATATCCTGTTTCTGACCAAATACCTGCAAAACTAATGACATTCCTATGAGCCTCAGCTGAATATTGTGTTTAGTGCTAATTGACTGTTAATATGCTAACATAATAAGATGTTGAACATGGTAAACATTACACCTTCTTAGCATCAGCATGCTGATGTTAGTTGCTTGCACGGCTGTAGACTCTTAGTCTCATTTATCATTCAGTTTTATCAGTGTGTTTATATTTAGAGTTTAAATAAGCTGGTGGAATATGGCGCACACAGAAGGAGGAGAAAGCCGCCAGCAGTTTTCACTCGGGCTGTTTGGATGCAAAGTGCACGGTGGCGGCCTTAGGTAGCTATGGGCGGTCAGGAGGTGACACATCCTGGATCTCTTCATAGAGGACACTATGGCCCTGTTTACACCTGGCATTGCCATGCGTCCTGGGTGATCCGATCACGAGTCGACAACTCTAGCTACAGGCGTGAAAACATACCTGTGAATATTATGTTCCATTTCTGACAATAGATCCTCCTAAATGTTACACACGAAACACACTTCCATTTCCAAAACCAGCAGCCTGAAATGATGTGTTTATCTGCATATAGAGCAGAGAATCACAAATGGTCACTCATGGAGATGCATTCTAGTGCCAGGTGTAAAGTGACATATTTAGAGCTGTCCACTTGTGATCGGATCACCCAGGATGTATGTGTCCATGCATCCAGGTGTAAACAGGGCCTGTGACACAGCTTGGTCGTAGATTCTTCGTCTTGCTGGGAAACAGAAGATATTTTCTTCATGAGTATTTTGCTCAAACCAGTGAACAAGTGCAGCTAAATCTCAATAGAGACGGTAAGGTTCACAGAGAAATCTTCAGTTCATACAAGGAAAGTCAGTGAAGAGAGCTGTTTTTGATCAGACTGAGGCACATTCTGTATAATTAATATCCTTCCATTTTATGTGGCTTTATCTCTTCATCATTAGCTACCCGGTGCCTGTCAGTAAACTGTCAGTCAGTTTCCAGCTGGCACTGACAGTAACGTCTAATTTGTGAGAAACCACAAATGTGTGGAACATCTCTTATGTGTTAGAAATAGTGTGGAGAAAAAAGGCAAAGAAATTAGGCAGCATTTACACTTTTACCTGCTCTGCAAGAGCCTTGTTCCTCTTCCATATTTTATTCACGCTCAGACAGAAATTTGAACACTCAGACACAGTCACCCACACACACTCAAACACATACATGCATCAATAAACAGACTTTCAGTGGCTTTGTGAGGCTGGCAGTCATGCATGGATCGATGTCCCACCCAGCCGGAGCTCGGCGTGTAACGAGGACCCAGCTGTCTTCTGTGCTCTCTCCAGCTTCTCCGCGTCTAACGAGCCTGATGGGGAATTGAAAACAATCATTCTCTTTTGCTGCTGCGACTGTTTAAGAAAGTGTCACATTTCCTTGAGATGCCGGGCAGTTATTATTACGGACAGACTTTATCACCATTATCACCATCATTCAGCAGACTTTCCAGACTTCAATGTTGCTCCCTGGCTCCTCAAACACAGCTCCTACCGTTGGCCTACAGAGGGAGCTACAACTCCAGCTTTTCTCAAAGTCTGACTTTTTATTTCTCCTCCATCATTTATATGTGTGAAGCATGTGGACCAACTAGATTCAGGGAGTTAGTCTGTTTGAGATGCAGCCTGACTGCTCAGGCTAAGAAGCGACTCGTCTCCCCTATAACAGCTACAGTGACAGGAGGGATCAGCCGAGGAGGTATAGACACAGAGGGCCGAGGAGGTATAGACACAGAGGGCCGAGGAGGTATAGACACAGAGGGCCGAGGAGGTATAAGACACAGAGGGCCGAGGAGGTATAGACACAGAGGGCCGAGGAGGTATAGACACAGAGGGCCGAGGAGGTATAAGACACAGAGGGCCGGCTGCGGGGGAAACACTGGGTGACATAACAACCCATTTGTATTAATGAGGGTACTCTTAATATTAGAAAAACCTCTCCGCTGGCCTGTTGTTTTAACTAGGCGTATCTTTTCTCTGGCCCTGCCTTTACATAATCTCATTGTTTTATATATCTCTGTCACGTTTGTAATGTAATTAGGTATTAGATTGTATTGTATTGTTCTTGTAGTACTTGTTGAAGCACTGTACTGATGAAATTGGGCACTAATTTGTTATGACCTGCCCAGGGACTACAAATGAAAATGAGCCTATTAGCTAACACTGGCACATTTACATTGAAGTGTAATGTAAACTGCAATGTTGATTAATGTGCATTGTCTCTGGTAAATAAATAAATACAATGAAAACCAAAAAAACCTGGCAACTGAGTGTAATATTAAACCATATTATTAACATATGTTTAAAGCTGCGCTTATCAATATTTTATATTACTTGTAATATGAATTAGAGGTCAATCTTCAATACAAGCAGCCAGATAAATCTGAATTCCCTTTTTATTCAGAAAGTGCTTTCAAAAATCTGACATCCTCTGTGAGACCCACCTCAGCACATAAACATAACCATTAGTACGCACATTTACAGCTCATTCATGTCTTATGGTGCACTTTGACCAATTTACTTCCCATTCATGTCAATGTGGAACGGTGTGACACACATTCGCTTCCTGTCACGAACTGACCTCCTTCGCTTTGCGCAGAATTCAATCTGATTTAACCTTGGCGCACAAAATCGTGAGGTTCTCCACTGTCCATCTGGTTTGAGAGGGGGTGCGACAGACCTCTCATTCAGGCAATAGTTTACATTCTTATTTTATAACTGCACAGCAAACTAACAGAAGTAGCAGAGCAGGAAGGATGCTGTTTGTCTGTAGTTAATGACAGTGGTTACTGACAGTAAAGTGTCTGATTAAGTTCTGAATATTAAACAACTTTAGGGACTGCTGCAGGTTATGTTTAATTTATGACACTATTCCGTGCTGTTGTCATATTTATGTTTTTTTTGTAATTAAGATGTTAGGTGTGTGTTACAGAAAAGCAGCAGATTTCTCTTACTCCACCTCTTATACACCCCTGCTCAGTGGCATCAGAAACTTTTAGCCTATGACACAAAGTAGTGGTTCCCAGCCTTTTTCCTTAAGGGCCCCTTTTCTATCATTGAGTAAACTGATGACCCCTGACTAAGTGACATATTTTAGGGATATTATGTTCAGTGAATAACACTGTACAATGAACCCGAACAGTGAACACACTAACTGAACGATTTGGATGAATTTTGAGCAGATTATTTCCTGTTCATATTGTATAAGAGAGATTTATTTAGGGGACTTTTAATTGAATTCTGTCTGTATTGTGTTTTTAGTTTTTAACAGTCATACATACTTAATAGGTTTCTTTTTTTTCTTTGAAATGCTAAGAAATAAGCCTACTCTGTATATTTTTAAAATGTTCTTACACCCCTTAAAATCAAGAAGGCTTTCCGGCCCTCTGTGAAGCTTTGGTGACCCCTATTGGGGGTCCCGACATTCCAGGTTGGGAACCACTGATGAGGCAGCTATGTGTGTAGGCGCCATACCTACACCGTAACCCCTTAATGCATGCTATCAAACAATCTTTACTGACCGCAGTAGCAACAATCAGTAACATGATTCCTGCTGCTGCAGTAATGTGACAAGAATTCAAACACATTAATTCATCATAAGTGATCACAAGTTTTTATTATTTGCACATAAATGAACTTATTGCACGAATTATAACTATAACATAGTTCTGCTCTTCTTTTACTGTTTTCAGTCGTTTTGTGTTTTTAGCTGTGGAAATACAGAGGTGGAATGGCTCATGATAACACAGCAGAGGAAGAAAGCATCCAGCTGTTTCGTCTCTCATGGCTTTTTTGATGCAAAGTGCAAGGTGGCGGCCGCAGGGAGCTACAGGGGGTCAGGAGGTGACACTCCTGGACATATTTAGTATTCAGTCACAGTTTACGGTGCAGTAGGGAGACAGTAGAGTCACAACCAGAGCCTGCCCCTGCACATACACACACTCCTCCTGCATCTCTTCATAAAGGGCACTTCTCCAGAGGACTGTGGTGGGGGGGGTCAGCAGCACAAATGTCAAACAGTCCGTCATGGAGGAGGCTGATGTGGGCTCAGAGCTCAGCCTTTTGTAGCATTTATGTAGGTTTGTGGTATGTGTGTATTTTTTCGGCATTACACAAACCTGAACACCTCCAAACCAGCAGAACAAAAATGAACATCGTCTTTCCAGTTGAACACACCACTCATCAATGTTATGAGTACGGTTCTATGAAGACTTTCTCTGTAAGATGTCTTTTACAGAATGAAAAACACACACAAAAAAAAGCTAAGGACCAGTGAGACTGATGCTCAACTTTCTTTTGTTATCAAAGGAATTTCAGCCTCTCAGTCACTGACAACCTCATCAACTGTATGTGAAAAGCTGCCAGCAATAAGATTTCAGTGAGTAATTCCATTGAAAGAGGAGACTACTTGCCACTGAAGAGTGTCTGGTTGAGGCAGGCTTTGTCCAAACTGGTTTATGTGGGTTTCACAGAGAACTACAAATGGATTCGCTGATTTTTGTCAAAAGAGGCAAAACGAAGAGTTGCATTGGCCACTGATGTGTAGGCCTTATACTCTATGCTGTTAGTGGAACATGTTTGCCAGTGGGGCAGCGATGTTGTTCTCTACACCAACAATCCCTCAGAAAATCAATTCCAAATAGCACCCAAAATGCGTTTCTGCCCCCAACAAGGAAAGGTAATATTGTAAGTTGTATGTTAACCAGGCAAAGACCAAGGAGAAGAAGGTCTGCTGTATTTTACACAAAAAGGAAATGTCTGACAGAATGTAAATGTGCAGAATGATTCTAGCCTCAGTATATTTACATTTGCACAAAGGCTAAAAAATATCAGTTTACCATAAAAACTATAAATGTGTGCTTTTTCCATAGAAGTGGGTGCCACTAGGTTTCATCATTGGCTCAATGGGAGCCAATGGGATCTTGTAATTGGAGTTCGGACAGGACACAAATTCAAATACAGCTAGTCTAAACGGTACTCGGTAGATGGTAAAATGATTTACCCAGAAACCCAACAATTCCAAACAAAGGATTATAATACTTATGCATTTGTTCAGATAAGCTTTAAGTGTTTGCTGTGATGTTTAATGTCTGCAACAACCTCTGTACTCTCTTTCAGCCCCTTGATAGCAATTGTGTTTTTAAAGACGCATAAAAGCTTCAAAATTCACAGGTGGAGTTAAAAAGAAAAAGAAAAATATCCAAAAAACCCATTGTCTTCAAGACCAGGGAAACAAGAGGTTCAAAAATGCTCCTTTATTTCAGGGTTTTAGGACTCATTCCTGCAGCACTCTTGCATGGTGCCATGCATTACTTACAATGGACCATGCATAATGCTTGATTTGGCCTAAAACAACCCATTTATAGCTGTCTCTGTTACAGGTGGTAATCTGTGAGAACGATATAATGCTCCGTGGCGCAGCAAGCTCTCACTGTTGTGCTGTTTGAGCTGACACTATTCCTCGTCTGTTCGTTCATGCTGATAAATATTTATCACATAAAACCTCTGCATTGTGTCTGTTGTTTTAGTTGTGGCTGGAGGGCAATTGCATTTGTTAAAGTTGCTTTCATAACAGTTGGTGTGTTTGTGGCACATTGGGAATGAATTGTGCCAAACAACAAAAACAGATTAGGTGTACAGCCCTAATAGGTTAGCCAAATGTTGAAACTAAGGACTGTTTAACATGAATAGCATTTATTGCAATAAAAACAATATGACCATGTTTTCACTGTACTATGGCCTGTGACTAAAATGTGTTCCTATCGGCCTCAGAAATCAAACATTTTACATTCTGCATCAGTCATTAAGCAGAAATACAGAAACATTTTAGCAGATTATTTATTTCTGAGTCTTGACTTTACCACAGTAAGTAATGGAAAAAAGAGGGAAGCATGAGAATGTAGGTGGTGGTGGAGAAAAATATAGTGGAGGGGAAAAGGAAGAGAAGAAAACTGGTTGAAAAGATGGAGGGATGAAGGGCAGAAAAGGAGAGGACACCTCACATGGAAGAGGGAGAGAGAGGAGAGAAGGAAGCAGAGGAAATCTTATATTTCTAGAACATTATACTTGAATACATGGCCACATTACATAACTTAATTTCTACCTGTGCTTGTACACACTTGCGTGAGTCATGACTATCAGTGTTTTGGTACAGTGTGTGCCTGTTAGGTTTGAATACATTTCTGCTTGTGCCATTTGAAACAGACAAATGTGTGTGTGAAAAAAAGAAGTAAATATGTGTGTGTGTGAGTGAGCGTGTGTGCATGTCGGTCCATCAGCTTCCTACAGTCAGCCCGTTTGTTTTCAGGTGTCAGACGTGGGGGTGTGTGGGCGCAGGTTGTGTGCTGCTGAAAAAGACACACTGGTTTCCAGGTAACAGGCAGAAGAAGACGGTCTACCTTCATTTTCTTTTTGCTTCCTTTTAGCCGAGAGGGAACAATAGTTTTTGCTGCTCTGCCCCAGCCCGTCTCTTTGTAGATGTCACCCTAATTAGTTTTATTCATTTTCTTTTCGACAAAAAAACACTAGAAGACGCACTGTAAAGCATAAACCTTCAACGATGCTGAGCAATTCTTCACCTTGCAAAGCAGCTTGTTGATATTTGTCCAGGTTCCATGGTCCAAAAACATTTTGAATGTAGTGTTGTTGCAGTGTTGTTTAATTATCGACTTGGTCTTGCACATGTAACTTTAAAAACAACAAAAATGGCTAAAATCCTGTATTGGCACCAAAATGTTATCCACAGATCCCGAGGCCAAGGGAGATCTTTTGTCCACGAAATTGTAGTCAAATTGGTTTACTACTTTTCAGCTGTCATGAATACAAGCCCATGCAAAACAAGTGGGAATATGTAACTTCTTTTAACAGATTTAATTGATAAAAAAAAACATTTATGAAAGAATAAAGGGATAAAAATATAGTAAAGCACATTTACGTAAAACCCATAATGAGAACACACAAACCAGTAAAATACTTGCATGACAGCCACAAAAAACTGTCAGTGTGGTCATGAGTGGGAGGTTTTGTGAAGGGAAAGGAATTTGATGTCAGGGGAAGAAGAGATGTATTTGTAAGAAGAACAGCAAAAGGAAAAGAACATCCTAAAGCTATGATTGCTGTCGGTATGCGGTGAGTCACATCCCTCTATGAAGGGCACGGATAAAAAAAAACCTGACGACGCAGGCATATAAGGCCTAAATTAGCCTCCTGTCTGACACTGTGAGGTTCTACTTAGTGGTGATTTAAGCAAAATGCTAATGTCAGCATACTAATATGCTGACAATGGCAATGTAACACATGCTGATGTTTAGCTGGTAATGTTAACCATGTCCACCATTTTAGTCTAGCATGTAAGCATACTAGTAGTAATTAGCACAAAACAAAAAAACAGCTGCGGGTGATGAAAAAGCCTTTACACAAATGTCGGCACTTTCCAAAAATCCTCGGCAGGTGACCATGTGTCTATCACCATCTGTCATGGGTGAACCTTAACCAGTTAGGTCAACAAACCATATAATGTACTCAAACTCAAAGCCAGTTGAGAAGAGGGAAACTTGTCACACACACCTAGAGTTAAACCACACCCTTAGCTCATGCTGTAGCTCCCAAAAGTTCCTTACAGCTTGTTCACAAAGGCCGGCTGAGCTGCATGTGGCGTCTACAGCCATGAGTTTGTCAACCTCATGATGCGACTAGAGGAAAAGTCAATGGACTGTCAAAGTCATAAGGGACCATGAATGCCTGTACAGAATTGTCCAATAGTCTGGACCAATTGGTCGACATATGTGTCTGACCAGCTGTCTCCCTTTTTTCCCTGTCCCCAGATTGTCACCGACTACGTATTCCTGTGTCCATCCAGGAGGTCAGCCCGTGCTGGCACAGCAGCAGGCAGCGAGGTGTGGATGTACGTGTTCGACCACGTGGCGTCAGACCATCGAGTGTGGTCAGGTCTGACTTTCTGCTACCAGCATGCCTGCCATGGCGCTGAGCTGCCTTTTCTCTTTCACTCTGCCACGGTGGCCAACTTCACCCTGTCACTACCAGAGAAACTGCTGTCCAATCGGATGCTGTGCTACTGGGGTGCCTTTGCCCACACTGGCGACCCTTCCTCGCGGGTCCAACAGACGACTTTCTGCCGGGAACAGCGTCTGCCCGTTTGGCCGCGCTATTCTGACACCACTGGCTGGCTTGTCATGAACTTGACAGTACGCTCGCATGCACAAGTGGGAACCAGGAGTCATATATGTGACTTCTGGGACAAACTGGGCATCTACTAGTGAGGGGACAGGCTGGGCAGGGAGGTGTTGGGTTGCTTTGCATTTTAGTAGCATCAATACATGCTGTTCCCTTTGCTCCTGGAAATGTAAAGTCAGTTGGAAAATCTTGCAGCATGAAGTTGCAGTGTTCATGTCATACATTCATCAGTATTAAATATGACCAAGCAGCATTTAATTCAATAAATAGCTTTTAGAAAGAAAATGTTTTTTCTATTGCCTTTCTCCAGCAACATATACTTTTGAAGGCAAAACCTAGTAGTGCAGTCAGTTTTGCAAAACTGCTTGAATTATCAGCATTCTGTCATCATCTATTGGTCACCGGTAGGAATTGCCTCTCTAGCCAAAGTACCACCATTTTCCCTTTTACGTGAGTAAATGTCAAAAGCTGCAGAACTGCATAGAAGGTCAATGGAACTCTATGTATGGTAAATTCAGGTGAAGAAGAGTTCATAAAAGTGAAAAAAAAAATCATATTTTTCCAACACAAAATGTACTCCTGAAGCTGTATGACACAGCAGTATGAATGTTCCTGCTAAGTTTTGAGATTATAATAATGATAATGCATTTTGTATACGGGTGCCTTTCAAAGCACTCAAGGGCACCAGTAAGGCACATTTTAAAAAAGCAATATAACAAGACATAATAAAATCAAACAAAGCATATATACAATAATAGTTAAGACAATAACTACGGAATCTTCATGAATACAATACTCTATGTGGTAGCCATTAGAAACAAGGTCAGACCGAATATGCCAGTTGAAAGAGGTGAGTGTGAAGATGGGATTTGAAGGTGGAAAGAGAGTCAATATTACAAACGTCTTGTAGAAGAGAATTCCAGAGGTAGGTGGGCAGAACAGCTGAAGGCTTTAGACCCCATAGTAGTCAAGCAGACAGCTGGTGTGGAGAGTTGGATAGGAGAAGAGGATCTGAGAGTAATGAAAGGTGTGTAGATATGAAGCAGAATCTTGAAATTGATACGGTATTTAAGAGGGAGACAGTAAAGTTGCTGAAGAACATGAGGGATGTGATCTAAGGAGGGAGGTCTGGTGATAATGACCAGAGAAGATAGGATTACAGTAGTCATAATGGGATGTAAGCAGGGTGTGAGCAAGAATGGCGGTGTGGTTAGGTGTAAGACGATTAACAGTGCATAGATGTATGTAAGTATGCAGAGTAGCATTATTGTTGGGTGGTATCCAGGATGACGCCCAGACCTTAGGGGAAAACCAGCTATTAGGTTTAGCTAAAGTAGATTCAGTGCCCACAAAGAGCAGATTCAGTTTTATGTTTTAAGCATTAAGTTCAAAAAAGTTGTGTGAGAAGCAATATTTAATTTCCAGTAAGCAATCAGAAAGGGAAGTTAGTGGAAGAGTGGAAGAAGGCCCATGAAGAGCTAGAGCTGAGTGTCATCTGCATAGCAATGAACTGAATACCGAATTTCCTAAAGATATGGCCAAGAGGTAAAAGGTAATTGATTAATTGATTGATTGATTAATTTATATCTTCTTAAGACTAAGCTAGCTAGCCGTTGGGGTGAATAAACACAATGTGCAAAAGCACTCCAGGGTTTCTCTATGTTTCAACAGGACCTATTTTACGTGCATAATGGCAAAAAAAAGGACATGAAGGAAAATTGATATTGATTCCATGTTGGTTTCGTTTTGTAGTTACAAGTAATGTTAACGTCATTAATTCAATAAATGTTTAAGACCTGTCAAAATTAAAACATTTTAAGGCCTAAAATTATAATTATTGGATTCAAGACACCCTGCACTACAGAATTACAATTTGAGCAAGTAAAGCAGGCAAAGACTTGTGTCCTACTCAACTTGAAGACACCTAGTGCACCCACTGTCAAAGCCTCCTAAGATCAATTCTACGAGACAATAAATTGAATGCATGTGCAAGTGATAAAAATAAGTAGAATTAACCAAAAATAATCAGTTTCCTGTTTCCAACAGCACTTGTCAAATGTAATAGTAAAATCACAGTGTGGAAGAGGCTAGTGTGATACAATTGTGAAATAAAAACCGATCAGCCATAACATTTTGAGCACTGACAGGTGAAGTGAATAACACTACGATACATGTTCACGGTCTGCAGTGGTCAGTACCTATCAAAAGTAGCCTAATCAAAGTTTGTTGGTATGGAGCTGCACAACATTCTGACCACCAGGGTGCCCAGGCGGTCAGAATGTTATGGCTGATGGGTGTATGTTTGTCATTTAAAGACTTCAGTTACCAACTGTACTTTGTGTTAAAATCATTTAACAAAAGAACAAAGAAGGTGCCAGTCTTCTAATTGTCTATATAATGAAAAGAAGGCTTCACCTCATTTAAGAATGTTGTTTTCTTTTAAATTTTACTAAATCCCAGAGCTCATGTCCTACATAAAATGTATTTTTACTGTTAATTTGTGGCTGAAGGTGAGAGAAGGGTTTGATTAAAAGCATTTAGCCAATAGTAGCGCACAAAATCATAATGTTTAATTTTACTGGTACTTTTATGAGAATGTAGATTTATGAGGTTCTGTGATTTAAGTTTTGTTGTTGGTATAGATAAGGCTGTCTGTTAGTCACACTGGCCAATGTGTTTCTCAAATAAAATGAATCCTTAAAGCTGCATGAATCAATATTTTATATTTACAATGTAAAAAATTACTACATGTACTGAAAATTAGTTGCTGGAAGTGACACACACTCACAGAGAATTATCATCCAACTCAGCCGTTCCCCTCAGTTATAAGGAGCTTTTTAGCTACTTTCACCTAATTCTTTATGTTTATTAGCCTATAATTTAACAATTTTGGTTCACTCTCACTGCTCTCTTCACATGGTTTCCATCAGCAGCAGCTGCTTTCAGGAGAGAACTCTGATACCACCACCAAATGACAAAAACACAAAGTTTGACAAAGTTTGTGTGAACATAGTGGAGCATTTAGCAGCCAAACAACCACATATTTTTGTCAGGAGGGGGAACTCAAAACAGCACTAAAATGAGAGTACATCCTGGATTTACATTTACCAAGTGGCGAGAAACACTAAATGAATGACTCCAAATGAATGTGCGTGTAATGTTGCACTGCACAGGCAACTGTTTGCTAATGTGTTTGCCTCATCAATTTTATAAATGTGAGAATATGTCTGCTCTCAAGTGGCTAAAGTGCAACAACTAAACACAATTTTAGCAAGGCAGCCCTATACCTAACAATGTTATTAGCAATGATACAAGCATGCAACAACTGGGATCCACTATGCTGTATGTTACAAAATGTATATACAAGTGAATGAAAAAAACATTCAGACTAATGCATCAAATCAAACAGTTTTTATTCTCTCTCTCTCTCTCTCTCTCTCTCTCTCTCTCTCTCTCTCTGTAGCGACCACTTATCATTTAGAAAAGCAATACATTGTATTGATTCGTCAGTTGGAGGCTTAGTTTAATATGGTTGCCTACGATCTGAAGACTTCCCTCCAGGCAGCTTACATCATATAGCTGTAAAGTATCTTATTTAAAGTGTCCTTTTATGAAAACTCTATTTGAAGGTCCAGGGTTAAATGGTACAAAACACTGCAGTCTTCAAAGGCTTATTCATACGGTTACCTTACAGCAATATAAAGAAAGAAAGTAAAAACTAAATAAAATGATGTAACACAGAAATACTTTCCCCTAATAGGCATTAACCCCGATAAAGGAGTCTTTTGAGTGCAAATGTTCTTGGTCTTTTATAATCAAAATTTAATATCTTACCATCTCTCCAGCCAGTGTAATTAATGCAGTACATTCAGCCTTTGAATTATCTCCATGGAATTGAATAAAAAGACTGGTAATAGTTGTGTTTTGTATGGAGAAGTAATATGAATTTGTTGTCTGTTATAGCTAGACCCTCTGGAGTAAACACTGCTAAAGAAGTGTTGTCCATTTAGTGAAGCCCAAGGATAAAGGAGAGGAAGACCTCTCAGTGCAGAAGAAAAGCAGCTACAACTGCACTGCTCTCCAGTCACGTCTCATCTTGAAGTGTTTCTAATCATGAAAAGGAGACGTAGCCCTGGAGACCATCATGTTCAGTTTTAAGATATCTCCCTCTGAGTCATTGAGACGGTCTGTTTTCCTTGAATTTTCTGTTGATGAGTTTTGGTAGATGCATGCTGTTTGTGCCAACTGCCCTTTTCTTGTTTTGGGTTTTTTTTTTTTTTTTTTTTTTTTACAAAGAAACCACATCATTGCCTGTGTGGGAGAAGATTTTTCCAACTGGGTGCAAATAAAAAAAAAGCTTTCATAAACAGACAGTTTGCACCAGCAGACAGTAAATTTTTTACCATCCATAGCAACACCTATGGATAGTAATGTGGGTCTATTGGCCTGCCACGCCCGAGTGAAATATCTCAGCAACTACTACATGGATTGTCATAAAATCTGGTCCAGAGATTGATATTCCCCAAAGAATAAATCCTACTGACCTTTCTTTAGTACACCATGAGGTTGTAGTTTTGAATGAAATGTCTCAGTAATTATTGGATAGATTGCCATGAGATGCATTACAGACATCCATATCCCCTTCAGAATGTTCTAATAAGTGTTCATGTAGCACTATCACCAGGTCAAAATGTGAATTTATTCAATACTTTGGTTTATGACCAAATACCTTCAAAAGTAAAGACATTCCCATAGCCTCAGCTGTACTACTGTTTATCATTTAGCTCAACGCACAGTACAGCCTCACAGAGCTGCCAGCATGGCTGTAGAACCATAATCTTGTTCTTGTATTATTACAAAGAACCCACATCATTTCCTGTGCAGATTTTTCCCACTGAAGGGCATGGAAATATAAAAGCTTTCATAAACAGGGTTGGAGTATCATCTGGGAGTAAAGAGAGTCTTTCCTTTGCAATAGTTTACTTCGAGGATGACTCAACAGTATGTAAAGTTATCTACATTTTTCCAGTTGATCTGGCAGATAAACAGGCATGTGTCCAGTCATAAGCCTGTTTCTCCAACCTCCAGGCGCCCACCAGGCTCGCCTGTCGCCTTCCAGACCCTCTGAGGAGGCCTCTCTCCCCCACTGGCACAAAAGCCACTGTGAATAGTCCTGTTTCTTTTGGCCTCAGTTCAAAATATGCCACTTACACACATGCATGCAGACACAGGGCCAATTTTATTGGCTGTTTACACACACGCATTGATTGGTAGAGTACTGACACGTAAGGCGTGTCGAGGCCACCTCATTATCTCGGCAGACATTTACTTTGCTGTCATCCAGTATCAAAGTGCGGCCCGCGCTGAGACTGAGCTGTCTGAGATGGCCGCACAGCTAATCAATTGCAGTTCATCCCCACTGTGTGTGCACGCTGGACTCTCACTGCTGCGTGTCCACCCCCCCACCCCCCCAAAAAAATCCTGCTGCTCATTATAGTGACAACTGATAAGAGGGAGACTGAGTGAGAGAAAAGAGAGACACAATCCTCTGTGTTGCCTGGATAATTTAGGAAAGGTTATGGAATCGATGTCTGGCCATCACTCTCGGGCTCTAAATCACGGCTGCTGGCTTTGCATGGGCACATTCCAATAAGATCTGATTATAGCCACTGCGGCTGCAATTAAAAATCAGATGACAGCCCTCTGTGGCCGGCATGCTGCTCAGACCAGCCAGAATACTGCGGGGGGGGGGTCAGTACATTGTTCACCATCATCTTTCTTATCTAAATGGGCCTCATGCAAGTTGAAGCAATAGTTTGACATTTTGGGAAATATGCTTATATAGGATCTCATATGTTTGTACAGTTGATATGATCCTACAGGCAGCTCAGTTTAGCATAAAACAGCTAGCCTGGCGCTGTCCCGAGGTAACACAATTGGAATATAAATACCATAACCTAGAAAGCTCATTAACTAATGTGTTTTATATTGTGTTTTTTATTCGTACAAAAAACAAAGTGTAAAAAGGTCAAGTCAAGGGTTTTTCAGGAAGGAATATTTGCTGGATTATTTATTGGCTAGATGCTGTTGCCAGGCAACAAGTGAAACACCAGGAAGTTACTGCTCCTGGCCAGGAAATACAGTATCTCTCTATGTGCGTTCTTGTACCGCAAGCCAAGTATCCCTGCATGCATTACACATCAACTAGCACTAAAGGTAGAGAATTTGAGCAACACTCAAAACTGTTGACTGTTTCATTTTCATCCTAGGACTTTATTGCATTACTAAATTAACTTTTGAATGTCTTGCTCCACCGTTTTGTCGTCTCAGGGAGGACAGTCTTACCACAGCAAGCCGTTTGGATTTGATGTCTCTGAAATGACACAAGAGAGGATACAGCGTCATTTTGAAGCCTGTTTGGATGGAGAAACGAGTAATACTGTGTTTATCAGTGAGCTTTAGAGGTGCTGGTAGGAGGAGGTTGTTACATTTGATATAGCATAGCCAGGTTAACTCTTTCTCCCTGTGCCCAGTCTTTATTCTAAGCTAAGCTTACCAATAGCTGCCTCCAGCTTTATATTTGCTGTACAGATATGACAGTGATATACTGTAGATATTCTCATCTAACTTGTGACAAGAAAGCGAATAAGATCATTTTCCAAAATGTGTGAGCCTTCCTTTATGGGATGTTTGTGTAGATGAATTCAGAATGTATTTGAAATCCTGTCTAAACCTGTAAAACAAGAAAATGCTCATTTGTTTGCTGCTTTTGTTTTTCCAACAGAAACTAGACTAACACTGCAGACAGGTGAGAGCTGAAAGACAAACGAGGCACTTTCTGTGTTCATAATGAAGCAGTTTTTTTCTGCCTGTTCCTCCTGGCTACATGAATGAAAAGCAACACGAGCGTATGCTGAGATGTGTCTCAACGGGGTGAAGGCTCAAGGGCAGATTCGAGGGGCGAGATGAGATTAGGATTGCTGTTGTTTATTTCCAAGTTTAGAAACATAAGCAGAGGGGCCGTTGGCAGAAATATCACATTATGTCTTCAGTTACAGTTTTGCTTTGAATGTGCCCAAAGTGGGATTCTCTCTTATATTACATTTTAGTGCTGCAGGCGAATATCATTGAGGACAAACTCCTGCTTAAAGACATGCCATTTATTGTGCTCTGAACAAAGCTGCCTGATCTTTTGCTGTGCAGTATAATCTTTCATACTGTGGTTCTGCAGACTCAGCAAACATTTAACAGAAGGCAACAAGCCAAGTGAACCTGAACAAGTGCAAACTTTTCACTGTGTGCTACAATGATGCTTTGAACTGATTGAATGACATGAAGGAATAGTTCAGCATTTTGGGAAATAAGCTTATTTTCTTCCTTAGAGGATCAATATCAATCTTACGGAGTCAGGAGTTGAACTCAGGATGTGGTTACCCTCGCTAAACGTACAGACGGGAAGCGAGGGAAAAACAGCTACTGTGGCTCTGTCCAAAATTTAAACCCCTGACTACAACTTTAAATCTCACCAATGAACAGAAGAAGTCTTTATGGGCAAATTCTTTTTTCACTCAGTTTTTACACACAGACACACACACACACACACACACACACACAGGCTCGAAATACAATCATACACACAGGGCTGATAGACATGCAAATGTTAATAGATGGTGGAATGTTAGGCTGCCACGTAGTGATGACTGACAGCAATTCAGGGTTCAGTGCCTTGCTCACGGGCACGTCGGCAGTGCCCAGGAGATGGAACTTACATAAACCGAAATGTAAAAATGACAGTTAAATAAAATGACTTTAAAGGTCCCATATTTTACACTTTTCCAGTGTTTTATTTGAAGTATATATATACCAAAAACCAATATAGTTTTACATCTCCTCTCTCATTCTAATGAATTGCCAGATAAGCAGGGGTATAGCCAGATCTTTCCTATTAGTGTGACCAGGTTAGACCACAGAGAATTCAAGAATTACTGTTTATTTTTAAATAAAAGCTGGGTCTCTAATATAGGCCATTGTTTATTTCCAGTTGACTAAACTGTTGATGAGAAGAGTCTAAGTCGACCTACTTTTTATTAGTCGGATAGTAACATAAATAGCATCAAACCTTTGTCTTGTAACACAGCACTGCTGCATGTGTTAACTGTACTAGCTGCTGCCACTAGCTTGTTACCAGTCCCATTGGCGAACCGGGGAGGTTTGTTTACACCACTAGTATAGGAGTGGGGCCAGAATGAGCACAACAGGTTTAGGTAGGGACTGGAGGTGTAGTTTAGGAGTGGAGGTGTAGGAGTTTGTAGTTTGTAGTTGATTTATAAGTAGCATTATATATCATCCATCATCCAAGTCTGCAAGTATTTGTTTTTGTGAAGTTTGAAGTTATTTATAATGTGTTTTGAACAACGAGACTGTGTGATCATTTTTTAATTCCTTTCAGCTAACCTATTGGGTCAGTGTAGTGATGCTTAACATTCAGCTTGATGACAGAGAATGACTAAGCCTATGGATTACAGCACAGGTACACCATGGGACTGAACGGTTGTGTTGTTATTGAAAATCATTAACAGAATCAATGTGCTGCTGCTACGGCCAGAGGAAGAATTGACAAAATTGTATTATTCCACTAAGTTCCTTCAGTGTTTTAAAAGTTAGAAGTTGTAGAGAGGAAATTAACTTTGGAATCATGTTCATCAGGTTCATTACTTCCGACACAATTGTTATTTTTCCCCATTATGTTCTTACTCCACAGGGAAACCCAGATCTTCTATATATCCACGTTATCAAAGTCATGCCCCTCCATATGGTCTCAAAAACACTGGCACATGCACATTAGGCCCTTTAGGCATACAGGCCCATTCAAGTGGCAATTAAAAGTGGAAAAGTCACTTAATCAGCTTTTTATTACTCTATGATACAGAGACCATGTGCATATAAATTGCTGCTTTCCGAAGATCTGAGTTTCTGCTGACTCGCACGCCTCTGTCTCATTCTCTGGAGATTTACCATGTAATGGGAAAGCAGCAGCCGGGGCTTTTTTCCCTCCCCAACCTGAATTGAATTGGTCCCATGAGCTATCAGCGTAAATTCAGAAGGTAGACTACAGCGCAATTTGCTCATAAATCACAAAAAGTGCTGTAATTCTGAGTGGAGGCTTACGTAGGGAAGAATGTGTAGGTGGGTGGGAAGAGATAGCAGAGCATTCGGGCTCCAGTTTGCTACAGTTTAATGTAACAATAATACTTGAGAGGGTATTTTTACTATACTGAGCCAAACACCTACAGCATCAACACAGCACTGGTAATAGGACCAGAAAGTTCCCTTGTGTGTTACAGCTTTAAAGCAGCTGTGACCCTGTATGATCAGACTGGAGCAGTTGTGTTTGAACAATATGGAGAGTAAGAAATTAAAAATAAACATTCAAAAATAGGAAGCTCTAGATTGCTATCACTGGGACTTGAGTGCCGGCTGTGGTATCTGACTCAACTTTGTGTCAACGGTATCATGGTTTTACTCTTCTGTGTTGAATTATAAATGGATTTCAATAAAAGCTTTTAATTTGACTTTTAGCCATTACACCTTCGAAGGCTATTCAAATTGACTGTCAGAATTACAGCATTTTTAAGCAAAGACCAGGATGTTTTAGTGGATCAATCACTCGTGGTTAAAGCACTAACTGACTTTTAGTTTTTGTACCTCTCAGGTAAATCACTTCCCTGAAGCAATTTTGCATTTGGCGGAGCTTTTAATTTATCCAATTTGTCAATCCCTGAATAATACAGTTACTATAGCGACCACCTGGTAGAACCCTATTTCTCTCTTTGTTACTTTGGTTAAGCATTGGCATATTTTCACCTTATAAAGTTGATATGGTGAACATGGAAACAAACAGCTGCCGCTAAATTAGCATTAATTTGGAGTCGTGCCTCTGTCGACCTGATCAATGCAAGTCTCCTTTGACATTCCATGCAGCAGCTATGGGGAACACTACACTAGTGAAACAGCAAGGAGTCTGTACAAGAGACTGAAGGAACACAAATGGTTCAGTGCTTGACCGGAGCTCACTAAGGGAACTGAGAACGATCATTTGTGAAGGATAAGTCAGTCAGCTGAGACTTTAGCTGCATAAAGATACAGTTTTCAAACTGAAAGCTCAAGTCCTACTCTATTATATACAGCATGTATATTTTCGTGACACCTAACTATTAAAGTATTTGGGACTACTTCCTACTTCAGACTATAAGATAATATATGAGAGTGAGCGGGGCGGGCTGTGTATTGGGGCTCGTGTTCATCTGGTGGTGAAGTTGCAGATTACAACTGAACACCACTGGCGTTTGTTTTTGATAACCTGGGAATGAGAACGGGCTGTGAAGTGTGTAGGAGAAATTGGCAACTTGCAAAAAAACTTGTGTGTTTGCTCTGGGCTACTGTAGAAACATGGCAGACTCCATGAAAGTGACCCATGGCGCCTGTAGATAACAATGGCTCATTCTAAGCTAACAAAAACTCAGCAATTCCTATATTCAGGTATACACTACTGAAATCATACCTATGGACATTATATTCCATATTTGCAATGATATCTGATATATCTGAAATTTTAAGAAAAAAACTTTCTTAAGAAGATTTATTACCTTGGCACTTCTAGAAAGAAGTTGGGGTTTTCTATGTTCTTTATTACAGGTAGGAGGTTTTCATTGAGCCAGCATATATGTGGTGCTAAACCAGGTGTGATTTTTTTGCCGTGCTACCTCAGTGCAAACAGTCATATCAGAATTCATGCGACTTTTACGTCTAGATTACTAGATACTAGATAGATACTAGATCGACTTTTGTCACAATTCTGCGCTGGGGGGAATCACTCAGCTGTGATGGAGGTGGTCAGAGGAGGCACAGTGAGGTGGTAGACCTCATAAGTATTTGGGGTGGCACCTCTGTACACGCAAAACTTGAGGGGTTGAACTGTAAGTGGTCTGCATTTGCTCCGACTCAGCATTCAGAAATGCCTCTGTAAAAAAGTAGCAGCCATTGCTCCACAAAAAGCCTGTGGCTCTCTTTCTCTCCATCCTCATTCTCGTTGTCACCTGCTCACATATTTGCTGGCTTCCAATGAACATCAACTTATAAATGAAACCGTACACGTCGTCTTCAGTGGCCTTCATATTTACTTCCATACAACCGCATACGGCGTGCAATGTCTTTGTTACTGTTCTTTTGCACATTCGGGTCAGTTCAGGACTGGGACCAGTTTTTTTTGTTTTTTACTGATTAAAACACACATGTTGGTCTGATTGTACTACATAGAGCAATTAGGGTGCACTCATTTATACTCATAAAACTGCTAAATAGCTACCTGTAGCT